TTTTTCTTTTATTTCACTTGTCTCCGTAAATCCTTTAGGAATTCTAAAAGAAAATCTAATTCAACATTTGGTTGGCTTAATCACCATCACTTGTTTAAGTCTTCTTAGTATGTAAACTCATTCTAATGCACTGCTCTAAAATCACCTCTAAAAAATTCACAATAGACTAAACTTAGAGTAATCCATAATTAGACTTTTTAATAGGGCTTCTTACCAGCAGCTTTTTTTTTTTTTCCATTATCCAGTTCTGCGCATTTGATCTCAACCAGGTGTTGATAAGGCTGAAGTGGTGGTGCTGTTTAGTCGCTAAGTCGTGTCCCACTGTGGACAATAGCCTCCAGGCTCCTCTGTTCATTGAAATTCTCCAGGCAAGAATACTGGAACAAGTTGCCATTTCTTTCTCCAGAGGATATTCCCAACTCAGGGAACGAACCCATGTCTCCTGCATTGGCAGATCGATTCTTTACCCGAAGTGGTGGTGAGGGTTGGGTAAAAGAGGAGGAAGCTCATTCCTGCAGCCAAAAGAGGAAGCACCAGTTCTTCCTAGGACAGTGTGGCCCTCCGACTCACATCATAACATCCCTGGGAAACCTGATAGAAATGCAAGTTTGGGGGGCCCTACCCCAGACCTGCTGAATCAAGCCATGCAGGTGATTCTGATGTGTGCTTACGTTTGAAGAAGTGGGTTACTCATATGTGGTGTTGGCTGTATTACAGATGGGGGTCTAGATTTAAAATCAGCTAGTTGAAAATAATTACCTTAACTGGCTCTAGCAACCCCCCAGTAACACAACCCACTTACATGTATGTTCTCATTTATCATTGATGGGTCTATCAGGGAGTTTTTCACTCCGCTGGGCTGACAATGTTATTAGACTTGCTAATGAGCAGCAACCATGAGCTCCTGCTGCTTGTCACTCAATGCAGTCAAGGACTAGCACACACAGCAAAGAGCTTAGCAGTCAACCTTCTTCACAGTCTGCTCTCAGGGAATAAAGGGTGGGCCCAGAGGTGTCATTGGACACTGACGATGACGTGTTGATTTCCTACACCAAAGAGCCAAGGCAGAAAGACAAAAAGCAGCTAACTTTTGCAAGCAGGCGCTAGATGGAAGGGGGTGCACTGACAGCTGCCTTGGCAGACTCCAACACCATGAACGTGTCCTCCGCTCACCTCCACTTTGCCGGCGGGTACCTGCCCTCAGACTCCAAGGACTGGAGGACCATAGTCCCAGCTCTCCTGGTGGCTGTCTGCCTGGTGGGTTTCGTGGGGAATCTGTGTGTCATTGGCATCCTCCTCCACAGTGCTTGGAAAGGAAAGCCATCCATGATCCACTCCCTGATTCTCAACCTCAGCCTGGCTGATCTCTCTCTCCTGCTGTTTTCTGCACCTGTCCGAGCTACAGCATACTCCAGAGGTGTTTGGGATCTAGGCTGGTTTGTCTGCAAGTCCTCTGACTGGTTCATCCACACGTGCATGGCAGCCAAGAGCCTGACGATCGTTGCAGTGGCCAAGGTATGCTTCATGTATGCATGTGACCCAGCCAAACCAGTCAGTATCCACAACTGCACCATCTGGTCAGTGCTGGCGGCCATTTGGGCTGTGGCGAGCCTGCTACCCCTGCCAGAATGGTTCTTCAGCACCACCAGGCATCACGCAGGTGTGGAAATGTGCCTCGTGGATGTGCCCACTGTGGCACAAGCGTTCACGTCAATGTTTGGTAAGCTCTACCCGCTCCTGGCATTTTGCCTCCCGTTACTCTCTGCCAGCTTTTATTTCTGGAGAGCTTATGGCCAATGTCAGAAACGAGGAACTAAGACTCAAAATCTTAGAAACCAGATGCGCTCAAAGCAACTTACAGTGATGCTGCTGAGCATTGCCATCACCTCTGCTATCCTGTGGCTTCCTGAATGGATAGCCTGGCTGTGGATGTGGCATCTGAAGGCTGGAGGCCCGACCCCACCACAAGGTTTTATAGCCCTGTCTGAAGTCCTCATGTTTTCCATCTCTTCAGCAAATCCTCTCATTTTTCTAGTGATGTCAGAGGAGTTCAAGCAAGGCTTGAAAGGCATATGGAAATGGATGGTAACCAGAAAACATCCACCTGCTTCACAGTCTCAGGAGACACCAGCTGGTAACTCCCAGGTCCTTCGTGACAGTGCTCCATCTCTAGAATCCCCACCATCCATGTCAGAGAAAGAGAAAACTGGCTCTCCTTCCTTCAGCAAAGAGAAAGCCAAGAAGGCAGAGATTCCCATCCTCCCTGATGTCGAGCAGTTTTGGCATGACAGAGACGCAGCCCCTTGTGTACAGGACAATGACCCTATCCCCTGGGAACACGAAGATCAAGAGACAGGAGACTGTGATAAATAGTTTCAAAGCAAAACAAATTGTGGTTATTGTATTTATTTATAATGCTGCTTATCAGTACCGTTGACTTTGCCATATGAAACATAGAATTAATACCATTAGGAATTACAAAAATGCTTTGCAGTCTGCATTTGCAAAATGTACAATTTGGTAAGTAGGACATCATATTAGAATAACTATGTTATCATCTGGCTGTCAAAGATTTAACTGCTGTATTTAAGATGCTTCTGTCACAAGTGATTAGAAACGCCAGCTTTTTTCCCTTTTCTGCAGTGGCTGTTTCCCGGGGTAGTCTGTACGGCCAGCTGTGTACTGGCTGGGGTAGAGCTCATCTGTCAGAGGTGCGGTCTCCTTCCTTTTAGTTTCTTCCTGAACCTGCCAACTTTACCCATCAAACCTTATTTCACATAACCAGAGCTCAAAATCTACTTCTAGGAGACCTAACATGCAAATTTTAATGTTATCTTCATTTGTTTTAGGAATGTTAATTTACTTGATGAAAATTCATAATTTCCATGACTGAATGTTGCAGAATAAGGAATATCCTTATTCTGAGCTAATTTCAAAACATGGCTTATTTTACAGGCAAAGTCTAAGTAAATTCAGACTTTGCCTCATACAAAAATCTGCTTCATAATAAAAATAAATGAAAAAAAAAAATCTGCTTCACTGATATTTTTAAAGCACCTCAGTGAGTTTCCAGTTTCTAAGTCTGGGGATTTTAGCAGTTAACACTGAACTTAAGCAGTAAAATTAAATTTGGGTTTCCAAATATATAACCAGTATAATTTGAGTAACAAGCAATAACTGTTAAATGTATAGCATGATGAAACACACCCAATAAAACAATTGATATATGTCTTCCCCTATTAAATATAAAAAAAGATATTTGTCCATGATTTTTGGTTACTCTGTAATGGAATTCTGGGATATTTTCACTGAGGGGTTCTCTCTGGAGAAAACAAAACTGCATTTAGGCTAAGCAATGGAGAAAATATAAAAACATGCTGTGGATGGAATTTTTTAATGTATAGTCTGTGGCTTTGTTTATTCTTTATAAATGGTCATGATTTACTTTTTTAACACAGATGATAGGGCTTTTTCCCTTGGTTCATAACACACTTCATTTTAAGGCTCACAAGAGCACATTAAACTACAATAAACACAGGTATCTAAAATACTGTCTTGTGAGGCAATGGTAATATAATGGGATTACCTTTAAAACTGTGATGAACTATCTGAATTAAAGACTTGTGATCATTATCTATAGTAAATGGAGGGTGTAAGCTTTCACTATTTGACATTTCAACTTGTAAATAAATAAAAACATTATGTTTTGCTTCAGAAAGTTTTGGAGACTTAAAAGCTTTGTCTTGAATGCTGCTTTCAAAATTATCATTTAGCACATGGGGGCTTTACAGGAAGGTGAGACCTTAACACTGGCACAGGTATCAGAGAGCAAGGAATCATGTATTCTTAAAAAGTTTGCTGGTAAGCACCAAATCAAAATGAAGATACTGAAACACAATGTAACTACAATGACCCTGTCATTAAGAACCTAATGGGGGTGTGTGTGTGTGGTAAATTATGAGTTTAGGTATAACATACACACATTACTAATAAAGAGATAAACAAGGACTTACTGTATAGCACAGGGAATTATCCTTGTTATCTTGTAATAACCTATAGGGAAAAGAACCTGAAAAAGAATAGATATGTATATATACAACTGAATCACTGTGTTGTAACCTGACACTGACCTGATACTCCAAATCAACTGTATTTCAATTAAAAAAAAAAAATCCTAATATACAAAGTCTTGACTTGCCCCCTTAAAGAAATCTGCATAGAAAAGTTGGATTTATACCTTATGTGAAAAGTTAATTCCAAGTATTTTACAGTAAAAGTAGGAAACTAAAATAGGTATCATCAAATCATTTTCTTCAGTTTTCTACAGTGAGAAACAGAGCATATTGAGCAGACAAACAATATTATGTGGATTTCAGAGTAACAAAACATTCTAGAAACTTTACCTTTGTAAGACAGTCTTAATTCTATAATAGTTGTTTCTTTTGTCACACATTTTCAGTTTCACTTCAGACTTCAAAGTCACTCAATGGATTTACGTAAAAATCCCATTAATTACCAATTTTATAGGTTAAAATTGTAGATAACCCATTCCGGGTTTCTACATACAGAAAGAAAGAGAAGTCGCTCAGTCAGGTCCAACTGTTTGCAATCCCACTGACTGTAGCCCACTAGGCTCCTCCGTCCATGGGATTTCCCAGGCAAGAGTACTGGAGTGGGTTGCCATTTCCTTCTCCTGGGGATCTTCCTGACCCAGGGATCAAACCCACACCTCCTGCATTGCAGACAGACGCTTTACCATCTGAGCCACTAGGGAAGCCAACTCTACATATAGAGTCCACATAATATCTGTGGCGCTTAATATATTTGAGCTAAGCACTGTATCACAGAGATGTGACTGTGTTTTTGTCTGTGTGTGATGCGTGCCTGGGTCTTTATGCATATAAAACATACTTATTGCCGTCCCTTTTTAAGGTTTTGTTGCCATTGTAGAAGGTGCAAGATAACAGGGAAAATAAATTATCCTATTAACATATTTTTTATTCAACATTTTATTTATGGTGGTGATTCAAACTAGAAATCTACGAAGGAATGAAATAGAGATCTTTCTAAACTGGAGAGGTAAAGCTAGACAGAGTAACTGGGAATCAAAGTTAAGTTTCATGGTATGATGCACTCAACAAACTGAAAGAAATCCAAAAAGGCATTCATCTACGTTAATATAAAAGATAAGAACAAGAAAACAGACAAACAAAAATCAGCATCTTCTTGCTATGAAGCAATAAGATATTGCTAAGAGACTGAGCACCAAAATGGTTCTTTACAAATTTCTTCCCTTTTATGGTAAGAGTAATTTATTATATTCAAGCTTTTTAAAATGACGTGATACTCAAGATTCAAACCTTCTTTGCGCCAAATTACATTTGCTGCTGCTTTTAAGAACAGGTTTAAAAGAAGTATTTATACATTATATAACAATAATCATATACAATCCACATATATAAAAAGGGTTGGTTTATTGTAGTTCAAATACATAAACTGAACATTCAAACATCTTAAAATTAAACTTTAGAAACAAAAAATTAACATTCAAATAGGAGTATAGTTTACAAGGAACATCCAAGGAAGGTAATTTGTTGTCTAATCCAGAATATTGATAAAGATCACTTAACGGTGAATAAAATGTGTTTAACCAGCAGTCCTAGTCTGGCCAACATGTTAGTTATGACTGTGACTCCATACCTGAGAAGAAATTACTAAATAAATCTTCTCTTAGGCTAAACAACAAGACTTGGCCTATAATTCAAAGGGGATAATCAAAGCACATAAGTGAACAAATGAAACTAAAGTATTCTTTAGAGACAAAGGTCAAAGTATGTCCATTATAATAATCTTAGCCTCTGGAAGATAAGAATTCAATTTTCAGTGTTTTTTTCTTTTACCCGCTTTAAAAAACAAAATCAAAACAAAATAAACCCTAACTTAGGTTTTTTTTTTTGGGAATCTGTGGTATTTGCATCTTGCAAGTTCAAACCACAAATGCTCTTACGTCTTGCATGTATTATAACACTACTAGAAAGAACATCACCAAAAGTCACTGACTTCCACATCTCATAAAAGGATGATTTTTTAGCTTCAAGATTTTAGATTTACTAGAGACAGCCTATGTTTGAGTATGTAAGTCAGTCATGCCATACAAAGAAAAGCATAAATATTTCCAAAGTGTTCTCTGTTCAGAAACTGCTCACGGATGCTTCTCCTTCTGCTCATCAGATGGTCTGCAATAGTCTGACTAATGCACATACATGTAAAAACCTGAAAACTGGCTCATGCAAGCGTTTTGAATGAACAGACACCCTGTGGAAGAGTATTCCAAGTTATTTTGTTGATCGTCTTGTGGGCTCTGACGCTGTGGGAGGTGGGGGTGGACCCCGGCGATCCAGGTCATCCACATACGCCACAATCAGTTTACGCCTCTCCTCTGGCACACAGTCTAGTACTAGATACCGTTTGTCGTTCTGCAAAATTTTTTCTACGTCTTTCAGGTGCTGGTCAGATTCCTGGATTAGCTTTTTGGATCTGAAATAAGAAAAGAAGTCCAAGAATTACTTACTGCTGTTCATAGGTCTTTCAGAAATGAGCTGGAAATGTCCATCTAGTTCCTAATTGTGTTTCCATTTTTTTTTTTTTAAAGAAAAATTTCACTGCAGTGGTCACCTTTGTAAGTCGCCTCAGCAAAGACTCCAAGGAGTGAAAGGGCCTCAGAAGCTGAATTACCCTCCCACCCCTGCTGGTGGTCCCTCCAGATCAGGGCTGAGGGTGGGTGGGTAACCTTGCCCGTGCTGTACCTGTTCTGTGGATGAACAGAGGACTTCAGTCTGCGGGGCTGCCAATCCCAGCATCTTTCACAAGCTTTTTCACTTTCACATCTTTCACTAAATTAACTATAAAAATGTAGAAAGAAGTCTTACTTCACATCTAATTTAAAAGCCCAAGCTGATGCAAAACATTAAGGATCCTGACCAAAAAATCCAATGACAAAATCCTAAAAACCACACCCTCAGCACTATCTATCCTCCCGTGCATACCCTTCATTAAGATGTTTCAAATTTTTCTCTTAAAAGAAGAAAAGTTGGAGCATGAAACAAAAAATAGTTTCCTGCACACTGACTGCTAAGCAATATAAAAACTGTTTTCCCGATGACAACTTGTTAGGGGGTGGGGAACTACTGGGTATGTTACAGCCAGATCTTGTTTTAAAGTGCTGATTTTATAGTTTTGAAGTTTTAATTTAAAAGTATCCAGCAAACTGCTTTCATCTGAGAAAAAATGCATTTGCTGAGTTTAAATAGGATGAGTTAAAGCTTTAGAATGAACACACTAAATATTTAGTCTTCAGAGGAGGCAAAGATAATTGACAGTGAAAGATTGTTTTTTTTAAAGTCTCTTCATGAAATACAACTTTTATATATTTGAAAATACTTCTGAAAAAGCAGTGAAGTAAAAACAAAAGAGTGTTTAAAAAACAGATGGGTGGGTAACGCAAAATAAGAATTAACATCTGGGCCCTTTCTTTAAAAAAAGAAAAAAAAAAAAAAACCAAAATGGTAGATATGGGCTGTACTCAGCCTTTGAGAAAAGTTGGCTTCTTCTTATTCCTAAAAATTAACAATGTCAACATGTGTGTGAATGCAAAGTATGCTTGGCCATCAGAGTAGGACTAGTAAAGACAATGATTGGCGATATGAAACATTTCATTGCACATACCTATATGTTATAAATTTGGTCTCTTTCAAAAGCGTCCTGAAGTCAGCTTTGGCTGTGATGTATTTGTCTCTGATGTATTCTTCAAACTCTCTTTGTTTTTTCTGCAAAAAGACAGTAAGATTAGGGGGAAAATTCCACTAATTCCAAAATTATTGTCAATTATTTATTAAACTAATGACCGGTAAGTCACAACATAAAATAATACAAAAGAAAAAAGCAGTAAGACACATTTCTATTCATGCAACATTTTAATGAATGTAAAATCTGCAGCGTACATTTTAAAGGTAAAAAGCAAGAATAAGAAGCCATGTATTAGTAGCAGCTAATATACGGTTTATGTTATAACTATATATTGGGGGCTTGCTACATGCTGCACTGTGCTGAGGCTTTTATAAAATATCTCCTTTACCCTTCATCACAACTTCACGTGGTAGACACTCTAAGTTCAACTGAGCATTTAGCTCAGTAAGAGAGCTTAGTAAGGGATCAGCAAAGACACACAGAAACTCCGAGCTTTAAAAAGACATTATTAATTCTAAACAATTAGAAAAAGTCAAGAGACTGACTTCATGGATCTCTCAGCTACCCATCTACCACTCTTTTCCAACCATGTATATTTTGTGGTCCATACATCTAAAATTTAATGGAGCAGGAGGGGAAAGAATATTAGATCATGGGCTTTTTAAACTCAAAACCAACCAGGATGGAGAATGATGGGAAGAAGAAAACTAAAGGCCAAGGGACAAAATGGATGGGAATAAGCTACACTTTCCTTGACATCATTCACTAATAAAGAGCCCTGTGAGTTTTTTCCTACACAGGAGTCAGAGTGCACCAGAATGGGGCTTCTACAAGGTTCACACAGCTGAGGCTCCCCTACTCCAAAGTCTCTGGGACATTAAGAACTAGAGATCATGTTTCGTTTTGCTGCTAGCATGGCTGTAAGGGTTAAGCACTTTTGGTAGCCTAGCACCAACTGTCATTCTGAATATATCTAGTGGGACCTGACTATACAATAAATAAAAACTACAGCTTCATTAAATCTCTTAGAAGATCCCAAAACACAGGTGTAAACCCAAGGATTAAAATTTTAAAGTGCCTCTTGTGTTGTCTTGCTAATATATCATACAAGAAAAAAAATATAAACTTAAAACTCAAGATTTATTTCTCATACATTTAAAATTATTCACTTAAAACCATCAACTTCATTTTAGTCAAGATACTAGTGTTGCTGATTAAGCACCCAATTAATATTTATAAACTGAAAATAAATCTCAGACAAAATTTTCTTACCCTGTCACTGGAGGAGAATTTAATGCACCGAGGATCCTCCTTAATGATTTTTTTTACTTCTTTCCATGTGGATGTTAAGGTAATCTTTTGAAAGACAAGTGAATAAAAAAATAGAATTGACTTTTCTTGAGGGGTGATATTGCAGCACATGCATACATCATATCACACAATGATCTGCAATCTCTTGTTAGGCCCAAGTGTAATGGGACTAGTGACGGAGAGGAAGGCAGCTTTAATGCAGTTTCTTTTTGTTGGCTTGCCACAAGTTATTTTCATGGCCATACTGTCAAGTCAAGGTGACCTATGACAATTAACTGCAAACCCTGTATGTCCATGGGCAATATCATAACTGCTGAAGAAACCACCACCAAAAAGAGGTCAAAGAGGAAAAACCTGCAGAGAGCACAAACTGCCAAACACGGGGACCAAGGTCCCAAATTGAAAATATAGCAAAAGAAGGGACCTGTTAAATCTATCATCAGGAAGCATCAATGATCACACACAGGTAAGAATATCTGGAATTACTCGGGGAGTAGATATGAGCTTGAAAACAGTAAAATGAAGTAAGTTGTAAATAGTAAGAGTATCATTTCATTTAAACAAAAAAATCAGAGAAGAGCCATAAAACCCACGAACTTCAGTAATGGCTCTAAAGACAATGACATTAAAACTCATATCGATATTTTACTTATAGGAATTATTAACAAAGATTCATCCAGATTAAAGCAGAGAAGTAGAGGACTCTTACTGCAGAAGTTTCATCCAAAAGTTGCCTAAAGTGCTCCCTCTTCTTTTTGGTAAGTGCTTCAATGTGTTCATTAAAAAGCTTCTCTTTCTCCTCTCTTTCCAACAAGGATCCAGATTCCCAGCGGTGATCTTTCCGTAGAGTTCTCCGAGTATCAGACCAGGACACATCTGAAGAACGTACCTAAAAACGCAGAATGCTATCTATCACCCGAGACAGACTTATCTTTTTATATTTTGTCAATAAAAGACTCATTTATTTTGTTTAGGAACAATACACTTAATAAAAGAAGCTCCTGATGATTCCATCTGAGCTAAGCAGTCACTGAAAATCTACTTCTTTAAAACCAGAAATCTCATCTCCCAGAGCACATCTAAGCTATACAGTATGGGCTGAGAGGTGAGAAGGATGAAGAGAACTTATCTCCCATAAACCACGGTCCCTAAGAACTTTCAGTACCTAGGTACTTTACTGAAGATCTTACCAACTTCTAGTAGTAGAAATGGATATAAATAAGAGAGGAAATACACGGTCTTACAGCATAAGCAGCTCACCAGACCAAAAAAAAAAAGGATTTTTTAAGGTCAAATTGGGACTTAACTATATCCTGGAAGTGACACTTGCACATACAAGCAGGAATGAACATCATTAAGAAGATAAAAGAACAGACAATGTGATAGCTCTGGCTGGGTCAGCAACCAGCAGAAAGGCATGCTTCATGGATAGCAATGGCATTACAAGTTAAGTCACACTGCTGCCAACACAAAGAAATACAGGATGCTGAAAAGACAAAAAAAGTAATAAAGAAGAAAAATATAAAAACATTTATTTACCCAAAAAACAAGTACCTAAAAACATGTCAAGTGAACACTGAACTTGGCACTGGGAATACAAAATAAAAAAGAACTGCCAGGAGTAGCGAGGACCTTCACCCTCTTCAGCAATAGGGAAAGCGACAAGAATGTGCCTTTTACAAAGATTTCTGTGATTGCAATAAAGAGGATGAATCTGGGGGAAGCAGAGGCAGGGATAGAAAACAGGAAATAACTGTAACTGCGCAGGAAACAGAAAAAAGGTCACTGAAAACAGACCAGCAGAAGCAGGGGAAGAAATCAGAAGAAGCAACAGAAGTGGTGAGAGGAGCCTTGTTAAAAGAAGTAGTAGGAGAGACAGTGACAGGAAAGAGCAAGCAGAACAGCAGGGTGGCCTGAAGGCATTCACTGTAGGGACAAAAAGCCCTTCATACCTGAACAACCTGGGTAATACAGGAGGATTTTAATTTTAAGTCCCATACAAGTGTATGATGATTTAAGATGACTTCATCAAGGACAATTTTTTAAAAGCTCTGAGACTAAAAGATTATGAAATTTTACAAACACAAAACATCAAACTTCTGAAAATATTAAATAACTAGGTTTTCCTATTCTATTGGTGTTAATACCAAGTACTCAATTTTAAAATACTTTATAGGTAACTTACTAAATTACAACTCTCAGAGTCAATTTAAAGAATATTAAAATGTCCACTAATGAGGTAATACAAAAGATTTCTAATAGTACTTTACAGAAAAAAGCAAAACAGTAATATATACCATATCAGACAGAAGAGCCTTGAAATTCTGGATAGCTTCTTCTCGTTTGTGCTGTTCTCTCTCTCGATCTATTTCTTTTGTTTGTTCTGAACGAGCCTTCTGAACCTCTCTTTCTCGTTCTCGAAGGCTTGCCTCAATGCGGGCTTGCCTTTCAAGCTCTTTTTCTTTTTCTGAGTCTAAGTTCTGTAAAAGTGAAGTTACCAACTCCATTAACATATGACCCCACAGAATAACTAGTCTGCCAAATACAACGTTTCAAACCTAGTTTTTACCAAGAATATACCTAAATACTCGTTCCAAAATTAACCACTAAAGGTTCTATTAGGAATACCAACAAGAAAAATTCTAAACCCTGAAGAAGTAGCAAATACCTTTGTAATGCAATTAACAATTTTACTATTCCATGGTTACATAAAAGTAAACACAATGGTTACCTTGGCTATTTTTTCAATGTACTGTTTGAAAAGGTCTTCTCTCATGGATGAACTATCCACTGCTTTGTAACGTGGATCACTTTCTACTTTGTCTTTTACTTTGCTCCATCGAGACTGACTGTCCAAGTGATGATTAGATAGTAGTTCAAAGAAATCCGATTTAATCTGTATTTCAAAACAGGTGTAAGGTGGGAGGAAAACAATATGCCATGAGAAATTCTTCATAAAGAGTTACAACTAGAACAAAGCTCGCGGATTAAAGAATAATTTGTTTAATGCATTTAAAGTGGAATTTAGTTAAAAAATAAGTATCAGAATTGCTCTTTTATGAGAAATTAAAATTCAGGCTTATGAACAAATGGCAAAAATAGCTCAACATCAAGATGGTAAGAATATTTTTAAAAGTAGATTAATACAACTGTTAAAACTAATAGAGGAATTTGGAAACAGCTGCACCCAAACAGCAAGTCTTATCACAAATCTGAAACTTACTGTCAAAAGTGTAACAACAAAAAATAAACTTTTATATTTTGCTTTAAAAAAGAGCAATGTTTTTACCTTTATATGTTTAAGAAAACTATATAATTTCTATGGTCATAATTAGTCATTTCTAAAACAAACAAACAAAAAAACCTATATTCAGATTTCTTGCACTTTTTAGCCATTAAACATGTATGCCTTCACCAGAATATGTGTCAATGAAATTAATGTTCTTAACAAATGAAGTACCAAATTAGTAACATTATACTAAAGATATAATATCAATCCTTTAGTGTCAATATATGCAATACTTAAAAAGCCTCTTCCAAATTGTACTTTTTATTTTTTAATATGAGAAGAAGAGAATAAACAAGCATTTGTTTCTACACACTTTGAGGATCCATTTTAAAATTCAGTCTCATTTAGGTTATTGTGTATTGTTACCAGCAAAGACATCTGAGGTAGCTAAATTCATTTCAGCAGAGGATTCTGACCATATCAAGATCCTCTCTTCCCCGTACATTAAATATGCTATCTCCCCATCTGACCAAGGGAATGAGAAATTAGGAATGGAAACAATTTCCACAGGGGCACAAAATACAATGAATCATTCCTTAGGTCTATTTCAACCCTCTGGTTCTCCCTGTAACTTCATTTCTCCTTAAAGAGGATTAAAAGGGAGGTGGATGTCCTTTTTGGAAAACACTTATAAGGTTGTTAAGAAACAGAGCTTATGTATTAGAGAACTTTCTAAAAGATAAGAACTATTCAGTGGATTTCTCCACTCGCGGAACTGTGCTCTTGACTTTCTTTCGATTAATAAGAAATAACTCATAAACTCAATATTTCTATATAGCAATAAAGGAACTACTTGATGTAATAGAAATGTAACAATTTTTCTGTTCATTTATCTACTTTGTATCTGACACAATGAACATCAAATTCCCAGAAGGCAAGATTTATGTTAATAAAATAGCTAAGCTGCATCAAATAAGAATCTTTCTAACCTATAAAATGTCAATTATCATTAGCAACAATTCAAGACCCTATTGTCCCTATTTCCCTCTCTCTAAAAATGAAAGCATCTTACCAACTAAGCTGTTTAGTTAAGGGAGAAATAGTCTCCTCAGTTAAATGTGTTGTAACAAAAATTGTTTAGCAGCTAATTTGAAAGAGAGGGGAGAGAGAAAAATGCCAACTTTACAACAGGATTAACCCCATTAGGTGCAACTTCAAATCTGCTGTTCCAAAAAATAAATTATTTGAAACACTAATAAAAATTGGTTAGAATAATAATAATAAAATTATTACCAAACAAACAAAAATTCAAGGGTAGCTACTTTGGTAAACAAAACCGTCCAGTAAAAGTTTTAGGGGCATTTTTTAAATAAAACTACCCATGAAAGTTACATGAAAATGATGACTGCACTCTAATTTGAAAAATCCCAACTAAAGAGAAAGAATCTCACCAAAAGTCAGTATCATTCATGATTCCAATGTATCAGTTTACTATTCAATCATACACAGTTAAAATACAATTAAAAGATGTACTCCAGGACTTTGCTGGTGGTCCAGTGGTAAGGAATCCTCCTGCTAATGCAAGGAACATGGGTTCAATCCCTGGCCTGGGGAGGTTCCACATGACATGGGGCAAGGAAGCCTGCAAGGAACAGCTATCAACCCCATGTACTCTAGAGCCTTTGCTCTAAAGAGAAGCCACCGCAACAAAAAGCCCACACGCCACAACTAGAGTAGCCCTCACCTGCTGAGTCCAGAGAGAGCCCGTGTGCAGCAGTGAATATCCAGCACAGCCAAAAGTAAATACATGCTAAAAAAGTGTTTTTAATGTACTGCCAATATATGTCGTAAGAATATACAGTGGCAGTCATGAAGAGATAAAACTTCATTAGCCAGATACTTCTCAAATTTGAATATAAAATATACATTTAAACCTCTATTTTCAAAATCTAGTTAGTAACTGACTTTGCATTCTTTAAATTGGCTAAGAAAAGTTTCACTTTAGTAATTTCCTGTTTTTCCCTCCACCAATGTAATAGTACAAGGCTAAACCTTTAGAGAATTCAAATTTTACAATCAAAAGAAAACAAAGCTGAATAATTAAGTTTATACAGATGTAGTGTCTATTCAATGTCTTATTTTAATTAACACATTCTGGACACAACTCTCATTACTTTATAAGAAAAGAACCCCCCCCCCCCNCAGAGGCTAAAAGCACCACACAAGTGTAGTGAAGTGTTGCTTATTTGTGTCCGACTCTGTGCGAGCCCATGGACTGCAGCCTGCCAGGCTCCTCTGTTCATGGAATTCTCCAGGCAAGAATACTAGAGTGGGTAGTCATTCCCTTCTCTAGGAAATCTTCCCAACCCAGGGACTGAACCCAAAGCCCCTGCACAGCAGGCAGATTCTTTACCATCTGAGCCACCAGGGAGATGCCAATTCTTTCCTCATCAGAGAATTACATTATCAGTAACTGAACAGCTGTCAGAACGAACTGACTGGCAGGCCACACAGCACAAAATTGTAAAGTCTACTCACTTGTTATAAAACAATACATAAAATAGCTACTGAAAAACATGTTTAGAAAAAGAACATCAGTTACAAATGCAAAACATTCAATTTGTTTAAAACAATCAAATGATATCAGCAAGTTCTTACTAAAAGTCAATCGTAGCAAACAATTCATTGACATGATTCTAATGTAACAGACAAAATGCTTATGTAAAACTCAATCTTCCTCTGAGAAGCACAATCATTTACTCCCAAAAATGTTAATAGTGAAATGATTCTGGAAAAATCTACCATGAAGCATAATAAATCACACAATCAGGAAATTTCAGTTATTTCTGAGAAAAGTCATTTCACCTAATACTGTTGTTATTTTTCAATTAAAGAGGCTTCTTTTCAAGAAGAGTGGTGTTACTTCCATAACAATATTTCTTAATAGAATTTGAAATATTTTAACTCTCTGGAATAAGAGGGAAATTTAAATGTCAAGAATAATAAAGCTTCAGAGGTTCTTTTTCTCCATTCAAAAGCACACAGGGTCACTGAGGAGAGCGGCTGCATGTTCTGATGGTTCACGCACCACTGGTGCCACCTCCCTACCAGTCTGCCTCCCCAGTGGTGTGCTCCTCTTCACTCATGACACCGCTATCAAATGACATTTGGAATTCATTAATCTTTAATAGCTGACCTTTAATTCTGATAAGCAATAATTCATATGTAAGATATGTTTACTAAAAGATTAGAAAGTCGCCAAAATGCTATCTTTTAGATGGCAAAAAATATAAAGAAGCTTTTTGAAAAATTTAAACATTACTGCCTATGAAGAACCTTGAAATGTTAGCAGGCAAGCACCAGTGAACAGTCTAATAACCAGTTCTGGATTTAATGGGCATCTTAGAATTAATAAAATATAAAGAAAATCTATGCAGCTTAGTGACACTACTAAATGTGCATTATGGAAGCGGTCAAACACACACATATAAACAACTGTAAAAGTTAACTTTAAAAGCTAGACAGTAAATATGGATCTTGTTATTGGGTTAGCCAAAAAGTCTGTTTGGGTTTTTCCATATATATGATGTTACAGAAAAACCAAATGAACCTTTCAGCCAACTTAATATTTAAGCCCATGAATGAGATTAGAAACAGCACCAGGTTAGTCCCTTCCCATTCATACCCCCATCAATCACACCACTGGAACTAAACCTTCTTACCTTTTCACCTCTCGTCTTCGAATCTTCTTTCTCTTTCTTCCTTGCAGCTGCCACAAATTCATTAAACAAGGCTTCTCGATCTTTCATCTTTTCAATTGCTTTAAATCTTGAATCTTTAGCATGCTTGGCTGCAAATTCACTAAATGTAGCTCTGTAACAAAATGGCAAGTGTGCTAACTTTGGTAGAGCTATTTCTACTTAAAGAAAGGCATAGATGATATCATCTTCCCATTAAGAGTATGTGCCAACAAGACAATGAGTCCCAACATCTACCAATAAAAAGGAGTAAAAGGGCTAAAGACTAAAACTGTGGTTAGAGATCTGTATTACTATCAGCATGATGTTAGGGGGACAGACATCTGAGAGCAAAAAATCTGTGTATTTCAAGAAACTTCAGAGTTCATTTAGTTCTACTCTAAGATGGGACTGACTAACTCTTCCTGAATTAGCTCTCCCTCCAAAAGCAACTATAAAACCAGACAAAATATATGAGGCAACTGATTTCAAGCACTGGACAACAGGTAGAGTAAAACTGAAGTAAGAAGCCCCATGGCCCTCTGCCTCAGGACAATTTCCCAAAATGCAAACAGCTAGAGTCCAAAAAGAGTACAGCGATCCCCATGAGCTAGAAGCAGCAAAGATCAGAGTTGGGGGTGCTAAAAAAAATTGGCAGAGGAAGAAGCTATAGAAAGAAGGTACCCCAGAAAAATACCATTTAGAAATTCCCCATGAATAAGTAGACAGCCAAGACCAAGCTATAAAACAGCAGAAAAACTATTCCCTGTACCAAACTGCTACATGCTTAAGAGCAAAAAAGAGACACTAGACACTGAGAAGCGCTGGAAAAGGAACAATAGGAGGACAGCAAAATCCACAAAAGATCCCCAGGGAGACGAAGCTGGAAGTTCGACAACAACAATTCCCACTTTCTGAGATCCACAGTAGCAGCATCAAATCAAACCTAAAATTAAGGTGATCAGCCTGTAATTGAACTGCCTGCTCAAACAAGAATCCACATTCCTGAGATGAAAATAACAGTCTCTAACTATTATTCCACAATTTTCAATATTCAATTAAAAATCACAACACATACAAAGAAACATGTGATCCACGGAGGGGGGGGACCTTAAGCAATAGAAAGTAACCCAAAATACCCAGATGTTGTTTGAGGTATAGACAAATCTTTTAAACTACTATAATTATATTGGAAGAATTATATAAAAATATGTTCAAAGAATTTAAACCATGATCTTAATGGATGAACAATTAGGTAGCTTCAGTAGAGATATGGAAAATCAAGTCTATGAGGGACGATGAAACTAAGTATTAAAGAGGTTTCTCCATGAATAAAAGAAGCATTTCTAAAGCTTTCATATGGTTGGATATATTTCAATATCTGAAGCTTTTCACCTTATTGTATATAGTAAGAATTCAAATACTCCCATGTTTAGCTTATTTTTAGAGGTGAAAAATAAAACTTACTTTTCCCTTGAAAAACCATCTATCTCAATACAAAAATAAAACACTTTATCTCATGTATTAAAGATTAAGTCCAATAAATCTATTTTCTTTCCATGATAAATTAGGTACCCTACTTTATAATTTTAAGAAAAAGTATTACTATGATTAAAGAACAAACTTCTTAAAAATGTAAAATCAATGAACAAGTGAGAATTCAATTATTTAATACATATTTCTATTATTTAAAATAGGTTTAAAAAAAAGGTAGCAAATTTTTTTTTATCAGAACAGACTAAAATTTTAGCATTAGATTCCATAGAGATGTTTTCATGATTCATCTTTTAACTCCAAAAATGCTATTGCAAAGAATTTATCATAGTATTTTGCTACATTATAACAGACATGGTATAAAAGTTCTTTACTAAAAACAGTGAGGTGGATAGTTTTTGGTGATAATGGATGAGAAAGAGTATAATGACTTGAAGTTAACCATAGGAAGTACACCAGAAATTTCCAACAAAAAAGAAATAAGACATAGAAGAAACAGTCACTAAGTTAGGTAATTCTTCCCAGTCATTCTTTTTCCTTGGAATAAACTCCATTGCTTTAGAGTTCTGTGCTTGTGGTCTTTTCCCAATTCAAAGAAAGTCTATGGATGGTATTTTCTCAACTTTAAGAAGTTTTTCCTCTTTGTTTCCTACTTATTAAAATGGGTCCTAATCTCTATGACAGTGTCAAATGCATCAATTTAGCAACACAGCCCAATGCCCCAAGTGCTAAGACTTCCAGTTCTGTGCCTGATGGCTTTACTTTCTGATATAACCTGCAAAGTAAAAATTACTCCAACAATTTTATCTGCCCCAAAAGAATATTAGTAGGGTACTGTGATACAGTAAGATTTAACTTTTCAAATCTACAACAGAGAAATCTCACTGGAGTCTCAATTATTCCCAGATCCATAAAGGGTTTTTATGGATATATTTTGCTGAATCATTTGGAAGTAACCTGTAGACATCATGAGATTCCATCAATAAATATTTCAGCATGCATCTCCTGAGAGTAAATCCTTTTTCTACCGTAATTACAAAATCCAAGAAAATTACTAATCTCTAATCTCATGTAATACCAATTCAACTACCTTCCAAAAAGTATTTTATAACAGAGTCACAACTACACAGACCCATGAATTTTTAATCTTTTGAGTAAGAAAAACGCCCAAGATCTCCTGGAGAGTCTGAAACTCTATTACCCTTAAACAGTACCATTAAACCCAGAGATTCCATGATTCTACCCCATAGTTTCAGAAATTCTCCATATTCTGGGATATTCATAGCAATTTAAAATACTGGAATCTAGCTGAAATTCCACATTCACTCAGTGAAGTGACCTAATGTGTATAAATCTTACTTTCCTTATTTGTAAAATAGGTAGGATATGAGCACTTAAATCTTATTGGCAGTATTGAAGACTGAATGTGGTAATACACACATACATATGCATGTTACTTTAACTGCATATATGTGAAAGTTCATATATCTAAAATATCCAATAATTGATGATATTATTATAATCCTAAGCATGTACATTTAAAATATCTCCTTTTCTTCAGCCATTACACATATTCAATATATATTAACAATCAACTGGAAGTGTCAAACAATCATCAACACACTTAGAAATTTTTAAAACGAAAGACCCTACATTACTTCAATTCAATCAAAATAATGTTCCTCCTCTGCAATTTATTACGTGTAAATCTTTAAGAAGACAAGAGATTTGTAATCATTCACCAGTTTTAGAGAAAGAAACTTATTCTCAAAGAGAAGTTTTTAAAACAAGGTACCTTCTTGAAAACCAGTGCCTCAGCAACCAGTAAGAGGAATCCTCCAAAGAAAATGTATTAAGAAAGAAGATTCTTGGAAAGCCAGAAATCAATAATCAAACAAGAAGTTTTTCATGTCCCCAAATCCAGAATATATATATATATTTAAACTGATCTAGGAGACAATACATACATGCTTTGATATTTGACAGTAACAAACCATATACCTCGGATTAAATTTTGCTTCCTCCATCATTTTTTTGAAATCTTCCTTGGCTTGCATTATTTTGTTTTTCTTTTCCCTCCGTTCTTCCTCTGCCCTGGTCTTTACATACTGATCAAATACCTATTACAAAAACAGCACAAATTGATGTCAGTCTTTCATATTAGTACTCTAAATACCAAACTAGAGAATCTATGAAAAAAAAATGCTATGTAAATATCTGTCCCAAAACAGAAGTACGTTAATTATAGGTAACTCAATTATATGCCAATGATCTATAGCAAATCTCAACTTTGAAGTAAGGACACAGTACAGCTATAACAAAGATTTTGAAAAAGCAGTTTAATCACTAAATCCTCCTTGCCAACTTTACGTATCTGGGGCACTCTTGAAACTCAGTAAAAGGCAAGGAGTGATTTTATAAAGCAAGGGTTAGCAAATCACAACCTGTTGGCTGAATCTGGCCTGATGTCTGTTCCTATACAGCCCAAGAATAGTTCTGATATTTTTAAAGGTGGGGGAAAAATAGAAAACTTAATTACACAAAAAACTAAATGAAATTAAAATTTCAGTGTCCGCTCATTCCTTTACATAAATCTACAGGTGTTCTCACACTACAACAGCAGAGTTGCACAATCATGACAGAGACCACATAGCCCACAAAACCTAAAATATTTATTATCTAATCCTTGATGTTAAAATTTTGTTGACCCTTCCTCTAAAAGGCAAAACAGTCTCTGGACTGGAAGAACACAAGTTAGGAATAAGGCGTACTAGATTGAGAAAATATACCATGTTATCAAGACACAGTCCTTATCCAGGATCTCACCAGCCTAAAAATGACCTGCTCTAGAGGATCTCAATAAACCAGCTGAAATCGTCCCACAGCAGGGGAGTTTTCAACCTCAGCACTGACCAGACCATGTTCAGAAGCATCCCTGGCTGCCAGATGCCAGCAGCACTCCCTCACTGGGGCAAACTACAATGTCCTCCAGTGTAAAAAAAAAACCCTGGGGCTCCCCTGGTGGCTCAGCGGTAAAGAATCCGCCCACCAATGCAGGAGACATGGGTTTGATCCCTAGTCCGGGAGGATCCTACATGCCTCGGAGCACTGCGCCTGTTCGCCACAACTATTGAGCCTGAGCTCTAGAGCCTGGGAACCGCGGCCGCTTAAGCCCACACCCCCTAGAGGCTGTGGTCTGCAACAAGAGAAGCCACTGCATTGAGAAGTCCGAAACCGCAGCTAGAGAGTAGGCCCTGCTCACTGCAACTACAGAAAAGTCCATGTAACAATGAAGACCCAGTACAGCCAAAAATAAATGCATAAATAAAATTACTTAAAAAAAAACACAAAACCCTGGTTGAGAACCCTGTTCTACAGTAAAGCCAACAATCATTAAGAGCCCACCCAGATGCTAAGAGAGCCCAAAGAGCATTTTAGTACCTTGTTCTTAACCATTAGCAGTCAGGATCTACAAAGACATCTAAGCAAACTCTCCAACATTAAAGTCCTCAGGTTGTGGTAGGAAAAGACAGATGGTAAAATAATTTTAGATGAGAGTTCTGAGTGCTACTGAGAGTAATGAAGGCAAAGACGTTAATCAGAAGGCATTTGGGCAAGTATCTGAATATAAATGATTTAGTAAGTTATGCAAACACCTGGGGGAAGTACATTCCAGGAAGAGGAACTAGTTAAGTACCAGAATATTCCAGTACTGGCCAAGGCATACCAGTGTCAGTGTAGCTAGAATAAATGAACATAAGAGTCTTGAGAAGTTGCAGAGATGAGTATATAGAGAATCTTATAGGCCATGAAAATTGTATTCTAACTAAAATAGTAAGCAGTGCCCATTTTTCAAGCAACAGAATACTGCCTTAATTTGTCATTTAAATTTCAAGATTAGTCTGGCTGCTATGTGGAAAAAGAACTTGACTACAGAGGACAGAAAAGAATGGAGGAGGCAAGGAGTTCAATTAGGCGCCACAATCAGAGTATTTTGAATTAGGGTTTAGTGAGGGAAATGGTAAATAAGAGGTTGGATTTAGAAAAGGTTTTGGAGGTAGACTGTGCTGGTAAGACTTGAAATGCACAGTGGGGAAAGTAAAAAATCAAGGCTAATTTACAGGTTCTGACAGGGCCATCAACTGAGTGAAAATGAGACAATCACACACGAAGAGTTTAAAATAAAAAAGATTATTGTGCATGAAATACAGGTGCAAATACATGTGGAAAGTCATGTCTTCCTATTATGAGTCTCAAATACATTTCTGACACAGTGTAAACGTCCTCTTTTCATAAAACGTCTATAATCAGAACTAAATTATTCCAACCATTAAATTACAAATATGGAAGATGGACACTACTATCAAATGAAACTGTTTACCTCAACAGCACTATACCAAGTGGTTCAACATACTCAACGTTTTACACAGATCAGTGTCAGGGTGGTCCAGGTAATTCAGAAACTATAAAAAGTATTGCAGTGTGCAACATTTCAGAGGAAGCATTCACTGAGATATATGTCACTGAATCACAATGGGAATAAACCGCAGCTCGGTAATAAGGCAACTCTAGTTCTTATAATTCTAGTTCAGCAGAGACCTGAAGTGTCCATTAAATTTATTATGAAAAGACATCCTAACAGTTGCCACTGAAGAGATGTGTGCGTAGAGGGTGTGAGACAAAAACCTGCTGCTGCTGCTAAGTCACTTCAGTCTTGTCTATCTACAACACAGATGCATATATATGCATATGCTGACACACCATAGTTGGGAAGAGTCAAATGTCAAACACTGGAACTATCAGTTGGGAAGAATTGTAGGCAAGTTTTATTCCTTTCTCCTCTTCTGTATTTTGCTATCTTGCTACCTTAAATTTGCATCATTTGCCGAATAAAAATTAATAAATGTACATGAGTTGATTTTGAAACCTTGGTATAACATCAGTATATATGAAACATAAGGACAAAATGTTCATGAGGCAAAAGCCATGTCCATAATGGCAAAAATATCCAAGTATTTCTGAGGCAGAAATGACGACACAGAGGGCCACTAAGGTATGAAACGGTTCAATTTAAAAGTTATGCTGGCAAGGGATATACATTTCTTACTGGTATTTTCATTTTACCTGTTTTCTCTCTTTAGGATTGAGCAATAAGTACCGAGGATCAAAAACTATCTTGTGCAACTCCTTCTCCCATGTTGAAAAAGCAGACACCTTTAAAATAAAAAAATGTATTGCCTCATAAATTAAGTTGGCTCTAAAAACTGAAAGGTCATATAATTTTGCTTGAAATCTATGGGACGTCTACTTAAAAAGGACACATAATAAAAACCATACTGCAGTTTCCATCACTAATAAATGACAAGCAGTGGGAGGCCAGGCAAAAGCAAATTTCCACACTAATTGGCTCTGAACATCTCTATATTATATAGAAATAACACACTTAATTACTCATTAAAATAACCACTACTGTGTGACATTTTAAAAATCAGTACATCAGAAAAAGCCTTGAAGATTTGCATTTTGATTTCCCAAGCTTGCTCTAATCTTGTGAACAATGTTGTGGTATAAAGTTGAACAATTTTACTTACTCAAGTGAATCTGTGAATATAATCAAAAGGTTGAAATCCCTTCTCAATTAAGCTTCATTAATAGTAATATCATAAAGTACCAGTACTCCTTTAACCAAAAGCCATTCTGTAGATATTAAAAGAATCACATTTACCTTACCTATCCCGAGTAGTCCGCCATTCTGTAATGTTAATACTCGTCATATTACTCACCAAAATTTAATGACCCAATAAATGTTAAATGTTATTTGTACTTAAAAGGATAATAAAATGGCATTTAGTTAAAACATAATATAATTAGCCAAGAAAAACACTATCTGAAAAAGAGCACAGTGATTTGACAGGCTTCCCTTATCCCGCCCCCACGACATGAGCACTAACCTTAGATTTGACCTTTTAGCAAGACATATTTATATTACTTATACAAAACAGAAATATCTCCCCCAAAGATTGTTTTCTGACCCCTCTCTCTAGCAGCATGTCCTTGAACTGCTTCATTCGGGCCTCCAGAGGGACAATGGCCCTTTCTCGGGCAGCTTTAATTTCAGCTTCCATGGCAGCTTCTTTCTCTGAATCAATGTCTTTATTATCGTCTCTCCTATAAAAAAGAAAATACAGGCATCAACTGACAAAATATTAATAAATAATCTTACTAAAATCTTAAAATTACTGGAATATTCAAGACTCACTACTGAGCAGAATATTTTTGGCAAAAACAAATTATACTGAGCCTTTCAAATCAACTCTAAGGGATAAGCAACTTTCATTATAATAATAAAGTCACAATGAGCTTCTAATGATGTTACAGTGGCTACATTGTTAGGAAAGAAAAATACCTTTAATATGCTGTCTCTCCCTGATACTATTTGATACACAAAATAAACGACCTTACTTAAAAACAAAACTTATCCAATATTGCAATAAAACTCTATGTGTTAGAATCAAACAGCACAGAATATAATTTTTAGTTCTTGAAACGATATAGGAAAAACAGTATTTTCCAAAATGTTTTTACATTATAAATGCATACGATTTTTAATCTAATAAAACTTGGTAAAAGTCTTACTAATCTCAAATATTTATTTTGAAAATAAAATATCTGCAAATTTGGCTAAGTGGATATGTGAGATATATACCTTACCTACCTGACATTTTTTTTACTCACTTTCTGGGTGATAAGTTGAGATTTAAGTTGAAGGACAGGTCCCAGAGAGCAACATAGGCCCCGGAGTAGTTAGGTGGAATTAGAACTGTTCATCAATGACTAAACTACTTCTTGTTTCTCCAAAAATGCACCTCAGGGCTAAGGGCAACCCTGCTGCTGTACAGTACTCAGGTGAGTTTGTGAACATGAAATTAAGTCACCTCTCAAACATCTGCCCTATGAATAAGGCCCATTCATGTGAATAATCAAAAAAAGTAATTCAGTAATGCTCAGGTGTGTTTAAGCAGATCTTCCATCTTAAATTTGATCTGCTTTGTATACAAATAAAATTGGTTCATATTTCCTGCATAAACTTAAGGGAATTAAGAAAACAGAATATTAGGAAATTCAAAATCATGCTATATAGGCAAATGAAGGTAGCCCAGGTGATTTAAATGGAACTAAGGCTAGCCCACAGATATGGTGAGAGGTATTTAGCAATTTAGGGAATGAATCAAAAATAGAAGATATAATCCGTGACCTGCAGGAACTTAGCGAGATAGTCTGTGACCTAAGATATGCACAAAACAAACAGGTAAAAGCAATTTGCCAAACAATATACCCTCTTATAATAATTTAAGAACTATTTATATAAAGAGTTAAAAGACAAGAAATACAACTAATGAAAACAAATAACCTTTACAGAATTATACTAATTGAAAATGTCACAATACAAACTATCACTATCTATCTCAATAAAAGAAATAAAAGAAAAACTAAGCCAGGAAAAATAGGCTTTTAGCTTTGTACCTAAATAGAGAAGCTCGGGCAATCCACATAAAGGACTTCTTTGACATTCTCCTGATAAAAGCAGTTAAAAACCTTACAGAGTTGTCTATAAGAACAAACAATTAAAAACAACCTAAAAGTTTAACATTGTAGGAACATCCAAAATCATGGTACATAAACAGAATGAATACAGTCATTTATAATATTAAGAAAACAAATTCTTATTCTAGATTTTTAAAAGAACACAAATTCAGTTGATTACAACTAATAAAAAATACATTTGGACAAGAACTAAAAAGTCAACTGTAAAAATTCAAACAGCTGCTGTTACTGTGGTCAATTATAAGTCACACTTGAATATCTTAATTTCTTTAACACTGTTGCCAATAAAGAAACTTTTTTAAAAAAGAAACACCCTTAACAGGGGTTGTCTTACTGATTTCTCTGCCATAATTTGGCTGCATTCAATCTGTCCTCAGATAAGGACTATGATAAACCAATCCGTAATAATGTCTTCAAACTTTCCTTCTTGCTGCTAAATAATGGTCCCATGCCTCCCCCACTCATATACAAACACCTTCTACCCCACCCATTCACCCCCCGTAATTAGTAACATTCGTATTTTACTGCACACTGGTCAAACTAAGGCTTCCATTTATACCACTCTCTTTCTCTCAGAGCACTTTCTAATAATAATAAGCTCAGGGGTTCCCTCTTCAACAAGTAATGACCATGGATACAAGGACTAAGTGAAATGATAAGTACATAAAAAGAGAGAGAAGTCTGGGTCTACATTTATCAGATTTTTGGAACGGTATCTGTTGGGGTCTACATTAGGAAGAAAACTTCTTTTTTTTATAAAATTCAGGTATAATGAATCTCTGAAAACAATTTATCATAATAATGTCATTTGGCTTCATAATACATATTTAAATAACCAAAACTCTTCCACATCTAGAAACAGAAGGGACACCATTTCTACATCCTAAAGCAAGGCTTAGTAATAGGCCTAAAGAGAGCAATCATGACTTCTGCCTCCTAACACACACATTACCTGTCCTAATCATGAACTGACTGCAGCCTAATCATCTTTTAAAAGGTAAAAATCTACCTAAATTACATAAACTATAAGTATTACTTACTTCCGTTTTTTGGCTTTAACAGGTTCATCTTCATTCATTTCTTCCATTAATTCTTGTTCTTCTTTAACTATAAGAAAATTTAATTTAACTGTCAGAATAAAAATAAGCAAGCAACAATTTAAATATTTAGGTATGAATCCTTCTGCTAACCACTACTGGAACACTTGTGTCAGCAGTATTTTTTTAAAGCTGCAACTTATAGCTCACTCACTTGCACTCATAGAGAACTGCCACTTTTGGATGGACAGCATTGTCGGGGTTGGGTGCCCTGGCAAAAAAAATTTTCAAAAATTATGAATAGTTATATGTACATGTTATGCAATCTTTAATAAAATTACTCCTTAACTATTTATGTATCTATAACACTTCTTTATAAAACATTAAATCATGATAATTCTACAACTCCTCTATTAATCTTCCCTTTAAACTTGATTCATTCTGAAATTTTTATTACAGAAAATTTATCAATAAATGAATATTGTATTCATTTATCAAATAAATGAATATTTATCAGATAAAGAATAAAACCCTTATACCTTTTGCACCAGGTAGACCAAGTTCCAATAATTTGGAAATCACAAGCAAGCAGAAAATGTTAGTACCATGTGTATATATATAATCTATGAAGATTTCTCAATTATTATAAATGATATATCAGGATTTGTTTCAACTAAAGTATTAAATTAGTCATTTATCATGCTTCTATACTACACAAAGGGTTTTTTTAAAAAACACAATCCTATCAATACCATGGCAAATTATCAATAAAAATGCAATAAAAATTAAATATAAATATTTATATTTATTATATATCTTATATATTGAAAGGCTGTCTGAGGGTAAGGTGAATTAAAAGATTATCTCTTAAGAAGGTGCAGGCGCCTCTCCAGTCCCAGGAATAAGGTTTACTTCCCCAAATTTCATCAAGTTTAAAAGACTGCAGTTTTAGTTAACCAAATTTTAATAAACAATATCTTAAAAATACTCTATACAGCTTGATTATTTCAAAATATGTAACACTAATCACAAAAGGTGCTAAAAGGCTCACCGAGGAGCACTGCAGTACTATTAGTAAGAATGAAGCAAGCATCAGCAGTACAACATATCCTGGACTAACTGACAACCTTGAAAAGAACAAGATGTTTTTAAAATACAAATAATAATAAATATTTACAAACCATAATTTTATCCAAATTGTTTTTTAATTATCTGAACTCAATCTAGAAGAGCAGTCTACTTTCCATTTCTCAAATATTCCTTTCTTTATATTCCTTGAAAACAGACATTTCTAAATTGCCTCATATTTTCCATAAAAATATTAAAAGCATATTAAAATCAGAGGACAAATGCTAATTTAAGACTTACTCAGTTTCTTCACCTCTTCCATCCCTTTTTTATGCGGGGGTTCCTGAATAATTTTGTCAACATCTGCCCTTCCAATCAGATCATCGGGCCGGTCCCACATAGAAAGACGGGTGGTAGGATTATAAAAGAAGACCCTCTCATCACCAGTCCAAACAACACACCTAGGAATAGTCAAACATTTTCTTACGTTATGGAACATATTTTACAGTTAGGTCTTTTAATGCCATCCAATCAAAAGGGGAGGTGGTAGTGGTGGGGAAGGACACATTCACATTATTATTACTTACAGGGAGCCAAATATGATTTTCAGAAAAGGAGAGGTGACTGGCTATGGGTTAAGTAAAATAGCAACTCAACATACTAACAGAAAACTAGCAAAACATTCATGAGCAGAATTTAGAGTGCTCAGGAACATGTCTGGCACACTCAATGTTAACCTATCACAAAAGATGAGCCTAACAGCAAATAATAATGCTATTAAACAGTTCTAAAGCTAAAGAACACACCACAGCATCTGACCTATTACATAATACTATTTCTTACCAAACCAGACTGCAAACTCAAATGCAATTATTTATGAAGCTTTTAATAATTGACTATACAAGTATCTAAAAATAAAAGCACCTATTGTGCTATGGCACTGTAACCCAGTACAACCCACTGTTCCTATTAATTACAACTAGAAACTCAGCAACAATGTAGAAAGAAACAAGTACCTAAGAACTCTCTAAGGTTTAAAAAAAAAAAAAAAACACAGATATGAAGTCAAAATTTAGAGAAGCAAGGGTATAAATTTCTCCTCCCTCAAACCTCTGCTGAGGCCCCTGGCTACACAGAATAGTAGCACAGGCAGCTAAAACTTCGCTTAGTTTTGCTCTGATTTCTCTTAAGCAGGTCTTTATGACCAGATCATCAAAGTTAACCAACAGCTGCCAAGCTCAAGGTGACCTAGATGTTACAATTAATCAGACAAAGTCTCTATTGTTGAAATAATCAAACACTTTACAGCAGCAATTATAATTACACTTAATGAGATCAAGAAAAACAAAACAAAGATAAGCCAAAACTTGAAAGAAGACAGAGGTTCTGAGCAGAGAAACTGTTAAAAAAGAAAACAAAAAAAAGAATGGTGTTTCAGGAACCTATGGCACTATATCAAAATGCCTGACAGACATGTCTGGGCAGAAAAAATTTAAAGACAAAATGGCCCAAAGATATCTCCAAATTTGGTAGACGACATAAATACTAAGGAAGTTCAGTGAACCCCAAACAGGATAGACTTCTAGAAAATCATTTTTAGACACAACATAAACAGATGGAAATCGAATATAAAGAAAAATCCTCGAGAGCAGTTAACAAAAAGTACAGCAGAAAACAAACAGGGAAACTAGTCCAGGGACTGTGGATTTCCTACCAGAAACCACAGAGGCAAAAATACATTAAAACAACATCATTAAAGTCCAGGAAAAACGGAAATGCCAACCTAGAATCCCAATAGAGCAAAAACATCCTTCATGAACAAAGGAAAAGAAGATATTCTCAATGAGGGGAAACCAAGAGGTTTCATTTCTATCAGAATTGTCCTGTAAGGAAGTTTCTCAGGCTAAAAGGAAGTGACACCTAAAAAAATACCAAACAAACAAATAAAAAAGCACCTGGATCCTTAGTAATGAAGGGGGAAAAAAAGAAATGGTAAATATCAAAGATTTTTTCCTCTTAAGTTCTTCAAAATATGTATGAAAAATTATGAACAACGCATGTTGGGGTTTTCAATGCATGTAATAGTAATACATATGACAACTATAACATAAAGGTCAGTAGGTACAAGGTTAAAAAAGAACCTATATGATAACAACGGTCCTACATTTTACGTGAAGTGCTACAATAATAACAATAAGTACTCTATGATGGTTAAGTGGGTATATTATAATAAAAGAAAAACTAAAAATTAATGCAAAGAGATATCACCCGAAAGCCAAAAGATAAAATTATTAAATGCTAGAAAATGTTCAAATAATTAAAATAAAGGGAGTAAAGGGCGAATGGAGGAACAAAAATAGAGAAGACAGAAAACAAATAATAGATTTAAATCCAACCAAAAGTTACATTCATGTTAACAGTCTAAACATTCCAAAGTGAATAAAAACACAAGACACTACTATAAGCTGTTTTAAGAAACTTTAAACATAAAATTATAGAAAGCTTTAAAGTAAATGGATGGAAAAAGCACAAAACAAAAGGTATTATGAGAAAGAAATGGGGTCTTTTCATGATTAAAAACAAAAGACAATCAGGAACATGTAACGACTGTAAAACATATATAAGAAGCCTGTTTACAGAGCTTAAAAGTAGATGAAATAGGCAATTCCACTATAATAGATTAACAGAACTATCTTAACAACTGCCAGACCAACCAAACCCTAAAACTAACAGTACCAAGAAAGATCACCTGGTGAACAATTGAAAAAAAAGAAGTCTTAATGAATGTGAAAGTATCAAAAACCAAAGAAAGCACATTCTCTGACCACAGGACAATTAAATCAGTACAAATGAAATACACAGAAAAAATTCAAATTAAGGAAATGAAAAAAAAGACTTCTAAATAATATGAGTCAAGGACAAAAATCAAAAATAAATTTTATAATTAAAAATTGAATGGTAATGAAAATACAACACATCAAGATTTGTAGGCTGGTGCTAAAGTGAAGTGAAGTTGCTTAGTTGTGTCCAACCCTTTGCGACCCCATGGACTGCAGCCCACCAGGCTCCTCCGTCCATGGGATTTTCCAGGCAAGAATACTGAATGAGTTGCCATTTCCTTCTCCAGGGGATCTTCCCGACCCAGGGATCAAACCCAGGTCTCCTGCATTGCAGGCAGATGCTTTAACCTCTGAGCCACCAGGGTGCTAAAGCAGGGCTTTAAAGTAAACTGTTAAGCTTTAAATGATAAGAAAAGAACACTAATGACCTAAGAGTAATTTCAAAATTACTAGAAAAAGAAGCTAGAAAAAGTATAAAGTAAATCCAAAGTAATCATAAAAAAGGAAATAAGAGAGGGAAAGAGTGAAGGCACCCAATCACCCTAAAACTTGTGGTCTTTATGAAAGACCACAAAACAGGCAAACTTCTGGCTTGACTGGTCCAGAAGAGAGAACAAATCACCACTATGTGGAAAGAAAAAGCAGTATCACCACAGATCATAGACATTTAAAGGATATTAAGAGAATAATAACAACAAAAACACTCAAAGGATACTAAGAAAATAATTAGAACAAATTCAACTTATACAAAATAAGCAAATTTCCTGAAAAATACAACTTAAAACAACACAAGAAACAAAACAAAATGAATGGTCCTATAGCTATTAAAGAAGTTTAAGTTGTTACCAAAAATCTTCCCCCCCAAAAAACTCTGACCACAGATGGTTTATTTGTTAATTCTATAAAACCTTAATGAAAAAGTATTATCTTACAAACTTTTTCAGTAAACAGAGGAATAGAAATCACCAATCACCGTCCAACTCATTTCTTGAAACCAGCAAAATCCTAATACCAAAATCCAACAAAAACATTACAAAAGAAACTTATGGATTCATATGCCACAAGTATAGATGCAAAAATACTTAGTAAAATATTAGCAAATCAAATCCAACAATACATTAAAAAAATTAATCTACCATGATTAAGGTTTATTACAGAAATGCTTGTTAAAGTTAGTTTAACAATCAAAATTCAGAGTAATTCTCCATATTAAAAGAATGTAAGAGAAAAACTCATTTCAAAAGATGTAGATTTATGATAAAAACAGTATCAAATTTTTTAAAAACCATATAAGCTAATATTATATCTGATGTAAAAGACTGAATTTCTCCCTCTACATAGAGAATAAGGCAGGGATGTTCATTTCTTCTACTTAGCATTGCACTGATAGTCCTAGCAACAAGAAAAGAAAAAGAAAATACATTAAAAATCAGAAAATAAGAAATGTGCTCCCATCTGCACGTGATAGAATTCTTCATGAAGAAAGTCCCAGAGAAATCTACAAAACTATAATAGATGAATTTAGCAAGATTCTAGTCTACAAAATATCCAAAACCTTATTACACAAAAGTTTTATATTTTTATGAGACCAAATTTAATTATCTTTTTATTTACAGCTTCTAGGTTTTCTGTCTTACTTAGGAAGCATCTCCGTTCCCTCTCCAAAACTGCAATTACATGGTCCTAATGTTTTTATAGTTCATCTGAATACCTGAAAGATAACCACTTGTCCAAATTATCTTCCAAGTTTTATCAATGAAGGAATGTATCAACAGTGTAATTTTAATTCCCTAATTATTTTCTATTTCTTATAAAATAGGTAACCGTAACTTTCAACTGTTCAGCTAACCAAGCATGCTACTTCATTGGATAATCAAATTTTATTAGTTTATTTCTTGGTATCCTTACATGCTGCTCTTCAAATTACTATTTCTTAAGAGATAAGCTAAGAAATTACATGTAAATTATGAAGTTTCATGTTTTCCTTAATTACACTGTAATTTTTTTCTTGGTATCATCGGTTTGGCTTTATTTTACCTTTTTTTTAATAAAGAAGGATCAAAAATTATAAGTTTTCTAGGTTCAGTAAACTTTAGTTTCTGGTTCTAATAAAGTTTTTAATGTTTTGACAAAACAAAAGTCTTTAAGGTCATGGAGACTTGTAACTTTTCCAATTGCTTACTAAGACTGCATCACAAAGATTTAGCGTGCCATAAAGACAGAGGAACTAGAGATCAAATTGCCAACACCTGTTGGATCAGAGAAAAAGCAAGAGAATTCCAGAAAAACATCTACTTCTGCTTCTGCTTGACTACGCTAAAGCCTTTGACTGTGTGGATCACAACAAACTGGAAAATTCTCAAAGAAATGGGAATACCAGACGACCTTATATGCCTCCTGCGAAACCTGTGTGCAGGTCAAGAAGCAACAGTTAGAACCGGACATGGAATAACAGACTGGATCCAAACTGGGAAAGGAGAATGTCCAGGCTGTATATAGTCACCCTGCTTATTTAATTTATATGCAGAGTACATCATGAGAGATGTTGGACTAGATGAAACACAAATTGGGATTAAGACTGCTGGGAAAAATATCAATAACCTCAGATATGCAGATGACACCACTTTATGACAGAAAACTTTGAGGAACTAAAGAGCTTCTTGATGAAAGTGCAAGAGGAGAGTGAAAAACTTGGGTTAAAACCCAGCATTCAAAAAGTGAAGATCATGAAACCCAGCATTCAAAAAGTGAAGATCATGGCATCCGGTCCCATTACTTCATGGCAAATAGATGGGGAAATAATGGAATGAGTGAGAGACTTTATTTTTGGGGGCCCCAAAATCCCTGTAGATGGTGACAGCAGCCATGAAATTAAGACGCTTGTTCCTTAGAAGAAAAGCTATGACAAACCCAGACAGCCTAATAAAAAGCAGAGACAATACTTTGCCAACAAAGGTCCATCTAGTCAAAGCTATGATTTCTCCAGTAGTCATGTATGAAAGTTAGAGCAGGACCATAAACAAAGCTGAGTGCTTGAAGAATTGCTGCTTTTGAACTGTGGTGTTGGAGAAGACTCTTAAGAGTACCTTGGACTGCAAGGAGATCCAACCAATTTAAATCCAATCTAAAGGGAATCAACCCTGAATATTCACTGGAAGAACTGATGCTGAAGTGGGCTTCCCTGGTGGCTCAGACGGTAAAGGGTCTGTCTGTAATGCTGCAGACCCGGCTTCGATCCCTGGGTCGGGAAGATCCCCTGGAGAAGGAAATGGCAACCCACTCCAGCACTCCTGCCTGGAAAATCCCATGGACAGAGGAGCCTGGCAGGCTACAGTCCATGGGGTCACGAAGAGTCTGACACGACTGAGCGACTTGACTTTACTGATGCTGAAGCCTAATCTCCAATACTTTGGCCACCTGATGAGAAGAACTGACTCATTTGAAAAGACCCTGATGCTGGGAAAGACTGAAGGCAGAAGGAGAAGGGGATGACAGAGGACGAGATGGTTGGATGACATCACCGACTGAATGGACATGAGTTTGAGCAAGCCCCATAAGATGGTGAAAGACAGGGAAGCCTGGCGTGCTGCAGTCCATGGGTTCGCAAAGAGTCAGCCATGACTGAGCCACGGAACAACGAAGTCAAAGTGAGGCTGCCTTTATTTGCCATTCATAATTTGTTTGTAACCTGTGTTGGATTTCAACTTATGAAAAATTTATCTTTGAACTTATGTTATTTGAAATTTCATATTTACCTAGGCTGGCATGGCAACTTTATTTTTATTTACATATTTATATCAATTGATTAATTGCTGATGCATTTCTTTAGTTTATTTCCATAGGTTTTTACTTAGTATTATGGAAAAATTGAAACATACAGAATATTCTAAGAATGTCTCTAGAACAATGAACACAATATACTGATCATCTAGATTTAGACTTAATATTTTATCACATGCTCTTTATCACGTATCTATCCTTCCCCTAAATATCTGCCAATCTTATTTTTTTGATATATTAAATGATGCAGATTATCAGTACACTTCACCCTAAGCACTTTATCATGCATATTATTAGCACAAGGTAGTTTTGTGACACAAGAATTCTTTGTCCATATGCTGAGTGCTTAGTCGTTTCTGACTCTCTGCAACCCCATGAATTGTAGCCCACCAGGCTCCTCTGTCCATGGGGATTCTCCAGGCAAGAATACTGGAGAGGGTTGCCACGCCCTCCTCCAGGGGATCGTCCCAACCCAAGGATGGAACCCAGGTCTCCTGCAATGCAGGTGGATTCTTTACCACCTGAGCCACCAGGGGAAGCCCTGGCGACACAGGAATTCTTTGTCCATAGTCTTTCTATTAATTCTGAAATATCCTGACAGCTTCTCACTCCACACCTACGGCTCATACCACTGGAACTGCATTAGCACACCTAGGGAGGAAAATAACCAGAAAAACATCTTAACTGTCTTCAGCAATCATACTCTTGCTGACACTACTGGTCTTGTCTGTGGGAAAAGCAAATGAGTAAATATGCCAAAAGGCCAGGTTTTTCAATCTCCGCATTATTGGCATCTGGGCCAAATAATTAATTCTTACAGGGAGCTGCCCTGTATATGGTAGGGTGTTTAGGAGCAGCCCAGGCCTATACCTACCACATGCCTTTAATACCTTCCAGTTACAACAACCAAAAATGCCTGCAGACTTTGCCCAACATCCACTTCAGGGAGGGGGCTGAGGGGAGGAAGCCAAATTACTTCTGATTGAAAACCACTGCTGCTGCTAAGTCACTTCAGTCGTGTCTGACTCTGTGCAACCCCATAGATGGCAGCCCACCAGGCTCCCCCGTCCCTGGGATTCTCCAGGCAAGAACACTGGAGTGGGTTGCCATTTCCTTCTCCAATGCATGAAAGTGAAAAGTGAAAGTGAAGTCGCTCAGTCGTGTCTGACTCTTCGCAACCCCATAAACTGCAGCCTACCAGGCTCCTCTGTCCATGGGATTTTCCAGAGTACTGGAGTGGGTTGCCACTGCCATCTCCAGAAAACCACTGATCTAGGCAAAAATCAGCAGTGACCACTAAAATCACACACAAAAAAAGGGACAACTAGATTCATCCTGAGGGAAAGGTCATCATCAGTTAGTCTGCCAAAAAGATCAAGCATGAATTTGATCACATCTCTGTAACTGCCTGCTAAATTTACAGGAAATTCAGAATGGAGGATTCTATTAAAAATAAAACCCAGTAATAAAACCCAGACTGTGGGCTTCTATAGAACAAATAATAAAACCAAGGAGAAAAAAGGAAAACAAGTTGAAGGGGAATTTACAGATTACAAGACTTAAGAAACAAGCCAACTCATTGCCATGAGTAGACTGAATACAGATTAAATAGAATAGGGAAAGAAAGCCCTGATGTGGGGAGAGGAAGAAAAGGGAGAACCAAATAAAAAAAGGCAAGAAAAAACAGACTACTCAAAGCTAAGATAAAAAGATGTAATTTTACACAGTTCTCTGAACATAATCATTTTGAGGATATAAAGCAATTTTAAAACATTTCAAACAATAAAAAAGGAGATTCAGGATCTAACAGTGGTTCAAATCTATAATTATAATCTGTAAATATTAATAGAGAGTTCTGTGAGAAGAGCAAGACACTGCAGCAGTTGAATTTTAGGTTTGAGAATCCAAAATAAAACAACCAAAAAACATTCAGTATTTGACACATACTTTTTTTAAAGTACTTTCTCTTCCTATTGTGTAATAATGTAATAATCAAACATGGTAATAAATAAATAAATAAAACAACTTACTAATTAAGTAACCTACATACCACGGAGTACCAGGAATAGGGGTAGTAGCTACTGGCTTTGCCTTCTGGGCAGCTTTTTCTTCCTCAGTCATCTCTTCTTCTTTGGGCTCCTATGGGAAATTGTATTACTCCCATTAAATTAGTATCACAAAATTATACTTAAATATCCCACAAACATTAGACTGCAAATACCTTAAAGTAAAACTAACATAATGTCTGTTGCTACCATACAGAGGGGAGACACTGAGTCAGAATTTCTAAATCTTTGCCCCTTAGGCAGAGCTGAATTCCATGACAGTAGAACCTATTGGCTTCCCAGATGGCACAGTGATAAAGAATTTTCCTGCCAATGCAGGAGATGTAAGTTTAATCCCTGGGTCTGAAAGATCCCCGGGAGTAGGAAAATGGCAACCCACTCCAGTAGTCTTGCCTGGAAAATTCCATTGACAGAGGAGCCCAGCGGGCTACCATCCATGGGGTCGCAAAGAGTCAGACATGACTGAGAAGGCACACACATAGAAATATAGACCCCGTCAGAAGATGATGTTTCTAACTTAGAGAGTCATTAACCATCTGTTTAAGGGTAGAAATAAGGAAAGGCGTATAGAATATTAGAGGAGATTTCCTCATTTAAGGTTATTTCTTTTTCTGCTAAATTCCTTACTTAGCAGAGCATCCAAAAAGCAGAGCTCTTTTAGTGCTGTTCAGAAATTATTCCATGCAAGAGAGGACAGGTAAAATACAATGAACAATCCCCAAATATGAAGTTGTACTTAAAATTATAAGATGTAGCAGCTTGTAAGTCAGGAGGAGACATCAGCTCTGGTCCAGGGCTTGCTCTTTCTAGGGCAGCCTTGGTTTCGTGTAAGAAGTAATTCAATGAAATTTTCATAGGAAAAATTGAATTACAAATTTCAAAGAACCCTAAAATTTCAGGGATCAGATTTACAGCAATTATCTAAAACTACAGCAAACAGATTTTCAGTTACCAGTAAACTGTATCCAACAATCAACGCTGGCTCTCTTGTCAGTAGGAAATGGCCCTTTACCTCCTTTATCTCCTTTATCGGCTCTTCTTTAGGATCTTCCTCCTCCGTCTCCATTGGCAGAGGCTCTTCAGAAGGTTCTTTAATTGGCTCTTTAATCTTCTCCTCTAGTTTTTCTATTAAAAAATGGAGATAACATCACATAGTAGTTCTGATGTAACTTCTGATGAACTCTGAGACTAAGCAGTAAGGATATTCCATTTCTAGCTGTTAACCACAAAAATTATTCTTCCTGTAAAACTTTCTTCCTGTAATATCATTGATTTGAATCTAATGTCATGCTCAACTTCAAATACCTTGCTATACTAATTAGGACTGTCAGCAGAAAAGAACTACTGATTTCAGAAGGACATAAAGTCTTACATTCATGTATCATTTTTGCTACAAATGAAAGGGATAACATACTAAAAAACAGAAACAGGGACTTGTGATTATAGAAAATTATGAGTCCTCTTCCTCCAAGGTTCCAACAGCCTAAAGTTTTTTTTTCAGAACACACACAATACACACATTCCTTCCTGGTCACTATCATCAATCTCAGGAAGGATGATGACAGTAATTCAACAGCTAATTAGGCAATTATGCAATTCCTGACAGCAGTAAAAAATATATCTATTAGTGTGGACATATAATTTAACTTCTCTAAATGGTAAAATGATGGACAAACATGTAAGCAGAACAACCGTGGCTTTTTAAATGAACACATTATCAATTCAGTGGAAATAATCCAACACTACATAAACAGAAAACCCCTCAAATGTTTTAAAAAGGAATTAATTCAGAATTTCAAATACCATTCTATGTATACTATGTCCCACTAAGTCATTACAACTATACCTTTTTCCTTTAGCTCTTGTGGTTTTTCCCAGGTTGATTCTAATGTTCTATTATTATAATAATATGTCTTCCCATCTGCTGTTTTATATTCAGTCCATTCAGAAACTGCTGTTGCTCCAGCTAAGGTAGCAGGTGAAGCTGCAATAGCAACCTGGGGATGTATCATAGGTACGATAGGAGGGGCCATTCCTGGCAATACACCTAAAAGAAGAATAATAGAAAATATCAGATCCAAGTACCAAATTGTGATACAAAGTAAAACTTCAAAATATGAGCTAAATCTTTCTATCAAACATAATAAATGAATGAGCGAACTGAAACAAAAAAAAAATCATATAAAATATTACTTAATTACTTAAATCTGGCTTACTTCTAATGCCTAAATTCAATTAGATTCAGAAATTCAACCCAAGAAGTACCTTGAAGTCAGAAATTTGCATCACACCTATAATGAAATTGTGATAAATCATAATAACATAAAACTTTAAAAATTATAAATTCTCAAATTTTAATAGAAATATATTTTTATAAAGAATTTCTTAAGTTCTAATGAAGTCAAGGCAACAAGCACATTTACTAAGAATATTTCCTGAGGTAAAATTATTTTCTTGTTCTAAGATACTTAAAAAGGATACAAATAAAATTCTATTTCAAAGTAAATGACTGAAAAAATAAATAAATAAAAATAAATCTGACTCTGTTATCAAAGCAATTTTAACATAGTAAGTGATTAAGTCACATAGCCCTGTAAACTGACAGCTTATTCTTTTCCAAAAAGAGAGCAAAGTTTCTTTTATTTTTAAAAGATAAGCCAAGATTTATATTTTTCACCAGACAGCTAAATAAGCTGGTGCTACATAATCAAAAATGTGAATTAAAATTGGAAAAAAAAAATCTTCATGTCCTATACTAGAAGTTAAGTTTCAGGTAGTTAACTTCAGTAACTTTAAAATGCAAATTTATACTATACACACAAATATTCACACACATAAACTCACTGGCATGCAAGCATAATCACATCACTTTACACATGGAAATGATTTTATATTTAACTTAAAAAACACACATCAAAAATAAAATTAAATGTTATGAATATGAGAATGAAGTTGTTTACACTTATTACAAAAATCAAGATATAAAGTGATCTGACCTTATTTGCTTTTGTGAACCAACAAAGCTAAAACTACAGGCAACTGGGAAAATTAAGTGTTGGCCAAATATGACAACTGCATTTATACTGCTCATTAAAAAGAAAAATATAAAAAAATCCACTCACTTGGGCAAAATAAATAAATAAAAGGATAAACAACAACATTCACTACCATGCCAACTTACAGACAAAACAAACTAAGATGGTTTTAAAAATTACCGGTCTTGGTGGTAGCGACTGTCTTTACATACGGGCAGCTGACTATTTGCATCATTGCTACACCTGTAAAATGGATAAGCAAGCATACGTTGGAAAGCTGCCATTGTATGTCGGCTACCACTGGGATTCAGGGAAATAATTTACCACTACAATTTAGAATGTTATTTCCAAATGAAAAAGACCAAGGATGGAGTAAAATTTCTTTCTGTTTGACATTTTGTGGGAAGTGGTGCCAAATTCAATGATAACTAATTCTAAGTTATAGCATCAATTACCTTTTTATCAAACCAGCTGGTAATTTTTGAAGGAGTCTCAAGAGTTTAAAATCAACAAAGGAAAAGTCCCTTCATTACATATGCATAACAGGTTTCCATGTGGGACATTTTCCCACAGGACCTCAAGTCCATGCTGCTTAAGAAACTAGTGAAAGGCAGACGCAGCATGGCACTGACAAGACACCCTCTCTGTGCCGCTGCTAAGTGGGAACTACATGCAGAAGCAGAGGCATGGAGCACAACCATGCAGAACAGTAAGGCAGGACAAAGAGTGTGAGAGCAAGGAAGAAAACTGAGTAGGAGATAGATCCAAATATTCCACTGCAAATAATAAAAAGGGCAAGGATGAACAGGAGGGTAGCATCCAACTAAAGACAGAATATCCACGTGTAGTGCCTGTTCTGTGAAATGCCATGGGCTTGGGACACTGTGGAGGTAGGCTAACAAATTAAGAAAAATACAGCCTTACTGATGACTACATGGGTTGATTAATTTAGAAACCTCAATTTGTTGAAGCTAGCTAAAGGAATGGAAATTACATACAGTTCTTAGAAGAATGAAGCCTCATTACGATGCATTACAATGATGATAAAAAGGGAATGAAAGGAAAAGCGGGAAAACTAAGATTTTTGAATTGAGGAAATTTGAAATTAAAGAATGAATTTAAAAAAATTTTTAAAGGAAAAGGCCTAAAGCAAAGGGTTTGGAAATTAAATTTTATCTTCTATTTGTTTTGGCTAAAAAAAATACTAAACTTATTTTGGTATTGACAAAAATTAAAAAGAATAAACTATTTTCCCCACAAAGTACAACATGAAACTTTTCATGATTCAGAGAAAAAAATTAAAGCTAAACCCCTGGGATTATAAATAATGTGCCTATGTTCACTCACACACACACAAAAATACTGCCAATTTTTGCAAACTGCCTTAACTTCTTAATTATATTTTAAATAAAAACATAAAGCTAAACCTTCTATTAACACTGAAACTAAAACAAATGCACTGGATCATAAAAGCATGCTGAATAGTTATATGTACAGTTTTATTTTCCATGTTTAAAGAAAGCAATGGAAAAATTCATTTGGTTAGAAGTTACAGCATGTATTAGGTTTAAATTAGTATAAATACTGCCATCTGCAGGACTACTGAGCCTAGTAAGCCAGCACTAGAAATTCCAATCTTAGAATATATGAACTTTATTCTCAAAGATTGTTCCTAAAGACATACCCCAATAAATAATTTCAACTATACAACTAAAACAGAAGAAAATCCTACCTACTGATATTTAGGCCTAACTGCCATGTCTAATATCAACCAGGCCAACAGAGAACTCTTGTATTTGACTATCAATATTACAGGTCATGATAAAAGAACATTTCTGTTTCTTCTCATGTTAAAAAGGTTTTCTGAGGACGACTATATGTGTACCATGAAGACTCACAAAATAACCAAAGAGCTAAATTTTTAGTCTTCTTTTTAAAAGGAGCAGCTGTTCAATTTCCCTACAACTCCATCCATCCTCACATTATGTTCTACCAGGAAATTAGAAAATTCCATTTAGTATTCTGGATAATCCTGATGTCACTGACTACAAGCTTCTTAAAATTCCAAATAAGATTTTACAGTAGAAATCCTATAATCCTAATCCAATTCACTATCCCAAAGCCCACCTCTGAAGGTTTTTACACCTAACTCTTCCACTCCTTTCCTTCACTAAGTATCCCCTCTTTAATCATCCTCAGAGCCATATATACAATGTTTCAAACAGCACTTAAGGCTCCAAGATAAATTACATCCAAATCCCCCATTTACCTTACTACAAATATTCAACAAATATTACTTCAAAAATATTAATATTACTTTCTATAAAAAATTAGTTCCCTCTCCAAAGAATCTTTCGTATCATGCACAAAATTTTATAGATTATCTAATTCAGGTCGTCTTCCAACTGACCTAAAAAATGTCATTAATAGCTGCCATTTATTAAACGTCTTTTTGCTGACAAACTTCATAGGTACTACCTCATCTGGTAACCCAAATGTTTACCAACTGTTCTAAAATTTAATGGTGGGTGAGGGCCAGAGAAGACCAAGATATTCAAAGACAGCTGTAATTGAAAGGATTTTATTGTGACAAAATTCCACTTCCTATAAAAATAATTTTGGTACTAGCAAAGAGTACTCTTTGCTACTCACTGGTACTAGCAAAGAGTACTCTTTGCTACTCACTGGTACTATTAAGAACCTCCAGAGCAAAACCAAACTCTTTTAGATACCAGCCTTTCCAATATCTCATATATGTTATGATACTACCTCTCAATCTTCTCTCTACAGAATTAACAACCCCAGCTCCTTAAGATGACTCAGAATTCAGGATCTGGTCTTAACACTGTCCTGGCCCTAAAGCTGACCAAGATTGCAAGAGATTATGTCACGCTTTTATTCATTTATCACTTAATTTTCTACAAAGAGTATGCCAAAGAGGAAAGTATCTAGCTGTTTACCTTTAATTTTGAAAAAGGGTAATACCTAGTATTTGAGAAGATTTTTTAATTTTCTTCTTCCTTTCAAATGATTTCAGTTTCTTAAATATCATATACTATGCATTATCTAACACTACAAGAACATGAAAAAGATTTTCCAAAAAACCCACTGATTCTTAAAATTTTGGCTTCTTTCTTGCTCAGGCATAATAGCTGAAAGTGTTCTTTTCAAAGTAGTTACAAGGAAGTAGACAATTAGAGCAACAGTGATAATTCATGTGTGCAACTCTTACCAGCTGTATCACAACCCTATTTTACACAAAAACTAATGCAATGAAGCAGCAGTCACGTGGAAGGGATGCAAAATTAGCAGACAGGCGGCCTAGGTTCTATTCATCTTTGCTACAAACTAGCCTTGTAAACTTGACCTTTTTAGTCAGTGTCAGTCGCTCAGTCATGTCCAACTATGGACTACAGCCCACCAGGCTCCTCTGTCCATGGGATTTCCCAGGCAAGAATCCTGAAATGGGTTGCCATTTCCTCCTCCAGGGGATCTTCCCAACCCAGGGATCCAAACCGGGTTTCCTGAACTGCAGTTAGATTCTTCACTGTTTGAGCCACCAGGGAAGCCCTGACCTCTTTAAGGGATCAATATTTTCAACTATAAATCTGGGAGAATAGACGATGGATTAAGGAGTAAATGTGTCTGACAACAACAAACACTCTCATATTAGGATGCTGAACACTATCATTGTTTAATTCCTATGGGGAAAAACTTTACTCCAAAATCTTTTAATTCCTTCTCTAGTTGAAATGATTTCCCCTAAGAGAATAAAAGACATTCACTGCAATTATGTAAACATTTAAGTGGTATATGTTATACTTCACAATTGTTACAGGGGAAGCATGCATTCTGTTTCACATGAATTTTTTAAAGTTACATGACTCACAATTTTTTCTCAGTATAACATCATTATTATGAGCATGGTATTTGGATCTGAAGTGCCCAGACTCAAACCCCAACACCATCTCTTATCAGCTATGTGACCATGGGCAAGTAACCTTAACCTGTCTGTGTAGCTACCTCCTAAGATGGTGGTGAAAATTACATGACTTATTACATGAAAAGTGCTTGGACCAATGGATGATATATAAATCACTTGTGGTAACTCTTATGACGTGATTTCTTAACTTTATACAGTCAATCCCTTAAAATATGGCATTTAGAACATATTTACACAAAAAGATGATCACTTTTAATTCATTGAGGCCATTATCCAAAATAAGTGTAGCTTTAAATGTGGCTCTAATTTTAAGACATGTAAACAACAATAACAAAAAAGGACATTTACCAAAACTGAAGAGAAAATATTGCAGTTAGCCATGAATCTTTCAAAAATGTTTCAAACAAGTGAGATTCAAGGCAAATTTCAAATGCAACAGACACATGAGAACAAACTAACTGACAATATGAAAACATAACTGGAAAAACTATTATCATCTATTGGTTTACCTGGAAGTGGAATTGGCATGCCAGGAAGGGGAACACGAAACGGAGGTACCATTACTGGTGGAAAAGCAGGTATTGCTGCTGCTGGCTGAGGTACTGAATGAGGAACAGCAGGAGGTAACGTCTGGGGGTGCGGCTGAGGAACGGTTTGCACAGGTGTGGCTGTAGGAGCAGGAGTTGAAACACTAACTGTAGGCGTGGCAACTGAAACAGCAGAACTTGGGGTCTGATCTTGTGTTGTGGGTGCTGATAAAAAATAAAACAAAAATATGTATCACTCGTTCATAAACGATTTTACTATACTCATTCATCATTCACTCATTCAGTATTTAAGGGCCATTCCATGCACTGCAAGGTATTTATAACAAGGTCTCTGTCTTCAAGAAGCTTGAAAATAGTTAAATGAAACACAAAAAAATAAGTAAAATACAAAGTGAGATGGGATAAATGTACATGAATGTGAATCAAGACAAAAGACCACTTCTGTGAAATGGTAAAGAAAATTTTATACTGTGATGATAGGCCTTGAAAGATTATGATTTTAACAAGGAAAATGACAAAATGAAAAGAGAAAATAAGCAAGTGGTGAGAAAACTGAGTAAAAGCAAAGACTAGGGGACAAAAAGGAATTGTTTAGAAAGGCAAGCAGTCAACTAGTCAAACACTAGGCATACCAACAGAACCAGTAAATTATAGCTGGAAAGGTAGGCAAGAAATAAGTATAAACTGGGAGGCCTTGAACACACAACTAATGAGTTTGCACTCAACTGGGTAGGGAAAGGGAAGAACTCATATAAATGCAGAGAAATAATCTAAAAGAATGAACACCAAACTATATCTGTATACACCCTTTTGTTTTTACTACACATGCTTCATAGTTTGACTTTTCAATAAGAATGCATTCATGTGTTATTTATGTGACTTCATGAATGTAAAGGGGATGGGTGGAGGCAGAATGAAGTTTTCTGAATTAAAGAGTAATAATCACAGTTCATTTGATGAATTAACCTGGCAGATGCATAGGAAGAAAAGGAAAAACAGAGATGTGAAAAGCAATTTCAACACATCTGGAGTTGTCCAAGAGAGGAAGAACAGAGGGAAAAACATATGCAATAACTAATGACTGACTGGATATGAACAAATGGAGTAAAGAAACAACTTGGGTTTCTTATAATTATTTCAAAATAAAAAGGTTAAAAAAAGAGAAAAAAAACACTCAGGTTTCCAAAGTGAGACCAGGAAAATGTGAAATTCAGAATAATTTGGCTCTGCTAATACATTCTTTTTAGGTATGAAAAATAAAAACATTTCACCCCTAGTAATCGCACATAAAATCAAATTGTGACTCTTGAAATATATAAAATTCATATTTCCCTTCTTTAAAGTTTCAGTTCTCAAATATAACATCCATGTAGTGGCACAAAACTAAACCATCTAGTTTCAAAACAAAATTTGTTTTTATAATTCATTGGTAACAAATACGTCATCTTTATCTTGACAGAAGGAAAAATGTCAAACTTTACCTATATTGGACTAGGAATGAATTCATCAAATTTATAAATAAAACAGTGCTTTCCCAACCTTTATGCCAATTTTATTCTAAGGGAAAGCACACTGTTTAATGCAAACCACCCAATAATTCAACTGAAAAATTTGTCACTATCTTTCCTTCAGCTCCTAACAATGAAAAACTCACTCAGGCTGGGAAGATGTGTGCAATTTCATACTTGTTAATGAGGGACTCACCTTGGCTAAATAGACAGCAGGGCCAAACAAGTATCTTCAGGGGCCCAGGAATGAATTGGTGGTCTAGCATAGACCTAGCCTTAGGGTACAGTATCATATTAATATAATTTTATAACAGTGTGAAAAATACAAATTACATGCAACATTTGCCCAGTCCCATACATATACCATTTATCATTTGTAATCTACTGCAATAGCTGAAAATATATCTAGTTATTTCCCAACTTCCCTGAGAAGTAGGATTTCATCAGCATTTTTCACAAACTTGCACAAGATAAAACGAGTTTAGGCTCACATGGGGTTAAAATATAAACTCCTTAATTTTTAGGTCCATTTACCCACAGATTTATACTGCAGTTAATAGAATTACATTTTTCAAAGTATTATGGTAATAGTACTTAGTAATATTTGTTAAAATTATGATATAAAGTACTGAAGTCAGGAAAATGAGTTAGAAAGGGATCAAATTTCAAGGGGAATGGTACACCAATGGAGATGGCAGAAAGTATTCACTCATCCTCTTGCTGAAACAGGATTTTCTGAATTTGATTAGTGGCCGTGAGTCATGACAGAAAAGGGACAAAGGAAATAAAAGAATTAAATGAGGAGCTGGGAGAATGGTAGCTAGGACTTTAGAGTAGGTAAATTTCTACTAACTCCATTTGCTAAAATGACTAGTATAACACTACATCTCAAAATATACTACTAATCCAACCTCAGACCTTAAAGACAAGAGACTACCTCTAAGAGATGGAAAAATATTAAGAATTACAGTACGGTAACACTTCATGACAGTGAATCAAGAGAAATAAAAACAGATGTCAGGAATACTCAAAGACAACATCAAAACTAATGTTTAAAGGCAATAAAAAGAACATTTCACTGTTTTGTTCTTAGAATAAAGACATCCCTTCGTATCACTGAAGAGTAGTGCAAAAAAAAAAAAAAACAACAACAGGAATTCTGAATAGAATGGTTAATAACCACAAGACACCTATGGGCCTACTAACAGACCACTCCAATACAGAAATGGAATATAGAGAGGACAGTTCAAAGGTTTTGGCTATCCACTTTATGAACAAGTACTACGGACTTCTCTTTCCAAAGAAGGCAGGGAAAAAAACAGAAGCAACACAGAGATTCCCCATAGGACCACACTGCTTTTAACGATCTCCTTCTCCCATTTCAACCAAAAGTACCCCATTAAAAACTGGCAGCTTTCTGCCTTGCCGTACAGGTTTAAGAAATATTTCCCTATAAAAAGGCAAAGATCCTCAACCAACTAGCTAGTATCACTGCTAAACTTCTATATTTTCAGAATTCAATATAGCTACAGAAGAAATCAGACTAATAAAGCATTATTTACATCTTCCTATTAAGTATATTTTCTCCCAAACTATCTAAAAAATATCAAATAGGGCCTTAAAAAAACTGTCTCCCTATCACAGGTACCTTAACTACTTTGTTTACTACTTGTGTAAATAAAATCAAATTTGAATTTTTAAAATGACTAGATTTCTTTTATTTCTTATAAGGTAATATACACCAATAATTCCCTAGTCCCCAAAGCTACTGGGGGAGGGAGAAGAGTTTCTTTTTTCCCCCTTATTCTCACCTATTAAGCAGGTAGGAAAAGAATCTAAATTGTAATTGCCTTATAAGGATAACTATGTATCTTCATATCATATTAAATAATCAAATCAATAAAATTATTTAAATATTTGGTTGCTCAATCTGAACCTGCAGAATAAGTACAGCATTTATATATATAAAAAAAATAAAACCCAGAAATGGTATAATAAATATTAATGACAGTCTTTTAAGCAAATTAACATTCTTCTCTCCTCACCCCTGAAATCTATTCAACACTGCTCATCTTTAGAAAAAAGACATACCTTTGGGCTTCTGTGATTTCACACCTGAAAGTTCTCTTACCTTTTGGACTGCTTCTAACTCAAGTCCTCATTTCATCTGCCTGCACATCATTCCGAGACCTATCTACCTTTAAACAAGATTACTGGAAGTTTTCCGCAGTTTCCCCAATTTCAACACTAACCAAAAACTGAGCACAGGAAAAAATCTTACAGAATACTGAATTTATACAAACCACTTAGTGTCTGCCTGCCTTACCCATTTGCCTGGTTCTTAAAACTCCATAACCTGGTCTCTTATTCAATATATTAACTAATAAAAATCCTCCCACCTAACAATCTTACAAACTATATTTACCGTCATTTCCTGACCTATGTTTCCCCCATCTGAAACACCTCTCTGAAATTTTGAACCTATTCAAATCCTATTACACACCCTTTATGATCCATCTCAATACCCATGTAGTCCACTCACTTGTCTCTCCGTTTTCTTGAATTCTTATATCTTCTAGTTTCGCTGTATAACTCTGCACACTATTTTCTAATTGTTTCACATGCATTTTTCTTGCCTCCTCAATTAGAAAAACTGGAAACTCTGTAAGATAGGGGCCAAGACTCACACTTATTTTGCAAATCCACAGCACCCAACATTACTGTTGGCCAAGTTGAACAAGCTAACTCTGCACTTTCCCAGTTTAGCTTCATGAATTTCAATTGAACAAATAATTTCTTCTACTAATATAAATTTCTGTTCTTTTTAGCCAAAAGTCTTAATGTCAAAAAATGTATTTTAAATAATATCAAGGATAATACTTAAACTAGGACCGTATGGGAATGCATTCCTACTTGTCCATTTCTCTAGTCCCTAAATGAAAACCCATGCTGACTAATACTCACTCGATACTGTCTGCGAAACTGAAGAGGCAGTTGTTGTGGTAGAAGTGGTAGAGGATGGCGTTGATGATGATGTTGAAGTAGACACTGCAGGTGCTGAGCTACTGGTCGTAGGGGTGGAAGCACCGACCGCTTGTGCTTGCACTTGCACTTGCGCCTGCACCTGGGCCTGAGCCTGGGCCTGGGCCTGGGCCTGAGCTTGTGCCTGGGCCTGGGCCTGGGCCTGAACCTGCGCCTGGGCTGCAAGCATAGGTGTCAGTTCTGACTGCTGAATAACCTTAACTCCATCTGGCTTGGTCCATGCAGATTCACGTGTACGAGCATTATAATAATAAACCTGCAGAGTAAGCAAAATCATCAGTTTCAAAGAACATGTCAACTATCATTTATAAATAATACAATTGTATTTTGCCTTAAATAGTATTTTTTTAAAAACCTAGAAAAGAGAAAATACATCAAAATTGGCTATTCATATGAAATTATTGGTGATTTTTCACTTTCTCCTTTTCCCTCAATTTTCTATAAAGAGCATATTGTATTTTTAACACACATCAATAAAGGAGAACCAAGGCTATGTTTGTGCACAGTTAACACAGCAGATCTAAGACCACTATCCCTAGAAAGCCATTGTCCACCATTCCCTAACTGATAGGAATGGCTCAGCTATTCACACAAACAATGCAGTTTATGCTCTATACCTGCCTTCCTTCTGGAAGTCTGGAATTTCGTAAGTGCAAGGCAGATGGTACCAGATATGGGACCAGTCCCCAATGAAAACCCCGATTCCTCAGCTCAGGACAGCGTCCCTGGCAGACAACACTTTATCAGTGTTTTCACAATTCCATGGCACAGGAATTAAACACACTCATGAGACTCCAACTGAAAGGAATCTTGAAAGCTTGTGCTTGGTTTACTCCAGACTACACCCCATGCACCTTTTTTTTCTTTGCTGGTTTTGCTTTGTATCCTTTTTCTATAATTAGTCATAGCTGCAAATACAACTACCTGCTGAGTCCTGTGAGTTCTCCCAATAAACACTAAACCTGAGGGCTGTTAGGGGACCTAAGGTGTGTATTTAAAAACACAGTTTTCAGAATCACAGGCAGACCTAGCAAAGTGCTCCAGCCACCTTATGTCTGTGCAGAAGTCCAATCAAGTGAAACTTTCCAGGAGTCCTGCCCTACCCTGGCTTACTTGAGTTTCATTCTTAACTGGCAAGGATACAGTCATTGATCTCAATCTGCCAAACTCCCAGGTTTTACTCTTCTATCACCAAAAGATAACAAACTAAATACATTTCATAATTTACCTTCCCATCTGGAGTTTTATTTTCAACCCATATCTCCTCAGTAGGAGGCAGTGCTGGAGTACCAGGAGCAGTCACAGGAGGCATTCCTGGTGGAAACATCATACCAGGAGGAGGAGGCATGGTTCCCATGGGTGGAGGCATGAAAGGTGGTCTCTGTTAATTCACAAGAAGTAATGTCACTTGTGTTTATCTTTTTTCCTTCAAATTATTACTAAATTCTACCCAAAAGTAAGGCACTGTAAGAGAAATTAGCTTTATAGTCAATTCAAATACATTTACCTAGGTTGTTGTGTAAGCAAAGTTTTTCTGTAATAAAAATGATTACTAAACAGACTAGAAGAATGTCAAGATACCAACAATAGTCATCTCTGGGTTATAGAATTATAGGTGAACAATATAACATTATATTTGCTTTATTATTTATACTTTATATTTATATTTATTTATATTTTATATATATATTATTTATATCATTTAGTATTTATACCTTAACTGCTATTTCATATATTGGGCACTAGATTACTTTCAGAAGAAAAAAACTGATTCTCTTAACACCAGCCACCCAATGCCTCGACAGCTCACATACAACAAGAACCAACAAACTATAAGAAAAATGTTATTTTAAAAATAACAATAACTTAAAAAGAAAAATCAGATATACCTAATCTTTTATTCTCCTTTCCTATAAGAAAAAGATTATTAGCTAGGAAAACATTTATTTCCTAGTTTTCAAATAATAATGTAGCTCACCAAAGATGCTAACATTAGTAAGTTTAAACAATACAGTAAAATAATTATTCACTTTACTTTTGGGAAAAGAATTTAAATGGTATATATTACAATTAAAAAAAAAAAAAAATCTCCTGAAACCATCACTGATTCAACACTATCCCTCATAATTCCTTCAATGATTGCTGACCCAACCCAAGATCCTGAACCAAAGAATTTAACTGTAACTGCAATATCTTACTCACTAAAGTAGAAAAAAGGTCTGCAATTCTGAAAACAGATTTTGAACAGGGATTAAAAGATTTCCTCTATAATCTACACATAACATTAGAACTTAATTACCCAAAGCATCTTAATCTGGATAATGGAATTGACACTATGCTAATAATGTGAAAGTTATTTTATTTTCCTAAAAAAGTTTTCTTTTCCATACTCGTTTTTCTAGATTCAGCTGACTGTCTTTCAAGCATCAATCAACACACAGGCCCATATTCTATAAAATGTCCATTCCAAATATATGCTACACAGTTGTCTGAAAGTCATTTGGATTTATTGTAAAAATCACACAATGATCTATCAAGACCAAAAAAAGCATCACATTAGGAAGTATCCCATCACAACATCTGATATATTTCCATTAGAGGGTTACACTAATTCATTACATTTTATAATATTCTACAAGAAGGTTTAACTCTTAAAGGCACAAAGTAGAGTAAATTCACATGTAACAAGTTATACTACAGTCAACAAGTCAAAAAGTTACTTCGTATTCTAATTCTAAAGAAAATATAAAACAATTTAACAGTTTGTTTAAGAGGGCTGGGAGGAAAGGAGGGACAGGCTGTTCTTCTAGGAAGCCAACAAAATAACTAAGCAAAGTACTAAAATCTGGTGTTTCTGCCATAAATATAATTCTATCAGAGCTAACATCACTTAAATAATACCTCATTATCTCTATTTTTAGTAAGTTCATTTTTGATTATCTAAGCTAACAGAAGGCAGATGATACTACTGTATTTGGTTTCAGAACTGTACAGGCTAAATAAACAGAAAACTCAGAAACAGTCAAAAAGAATATAATCTCAAAAGTAGGTATTTGAGAGTTGATACCTTCATAACTTCACTAAAAAGGGATATATGCTTCAGGTTAAAACACTAGGAAAATTTTCATTTAAGGAAATTTCACAAAAATTCTACTTCTAAAACTGTGACACACTCATATTTTTTTCCTGGGGAAGGAAAAAAATCCAAATACTGTGCTTACAAAATGTGCTTATTGTCACATTCTAGGTTCTACTCTAGGGATCATTCCTGGAAAGAATTCTTCAGGAATATATAGATATATAGAGATATATTTAAACTCACTAGTAACATGTATCATTGAAAACAAACTTCCCTCACTTTACACATAAGCTTTCAAATATCATTTCCCATAAAGAAGATCATTACAGACAACTGTCAGAGATGAAGGCAAGTTAGAACTACCTTATTCAATCCTTATACATACTTTTTCATCACCATATAAATTTCCATTCTGAATTTCCATACTAATTATCATTATCAGTGCTTCTGAAGCAACACATTAATATAAAGATGTTCTCTTTAGTTCTCATTCTCCTATAAACCCAAGAATACAAGTTTTAAAACCAAACTCATCTATATACTACTGACACTAACGCCAACAAAGAAACAGCTATCTCTACATTCTTTACCTGAAGGTGTGGAGGGCCCATAGGTGGAGGAATCCCTCCTGGAGGAGGCATTGGTGGCATATTAGGATCAAAAGGGGGACGTCCAAATGGGGGCCGAGGTGGAGGAGGAGGGCCTCGCATCATACCAAAAGGTGGAGGAGGTCGCATCAGAGGTGGTGGGCCTCGCATCACTGCATTTGGCGGGGGAGCTGGGCCTCGGAACCTCAAGGCCTGCTGTTGAGCCATCCTGTATGGGAAACCAATGAATAAAATGTTCTTTCTCAAAGTAACAAAAATATAGCTACTAAACTCTGATTACATCAAATTTTTAAAGCCCTTAAGAGCAAGCAGAGTTGGAAAATCATCATTTTGTATCACTGTAGCAGAGTGCATCAGCAAGAATGATCAATGGACACCAAATCTAGGAGAAAATGAGGGGGTTATTTGCATGGTCTTAACATACTGGGTGTTCATTGGAAGGGCTGATGCTGAAGCTGAAACTACAACACTTCGGCCACCTCAAGCGAAGAGTTGACTCACTGGAAAAGACCCTGATGCTGGGAGGGATTAGGGGCAGGAGGAGAAGGGGACGACAGAGGATGAGATGGCTGGATGGCATCACCGAGTTTGAGTAAACTCCGGGAGTTGGTGATGGACAGGGAGGCCTGGCGTGCTGCGATTCATGGGGTCGCAAAGAGTCGGACACAACTGAGCGACTGAACTGAACTGAATATATCTTCCCACATGTTTCTTACAATAGAAAGAAGGCTAAACAAAACACTATGCAATAGAGAAACTGATCTAATGCGACTGAGAGGGACACAATACCACCTATTCCAAGCAAGAATGAACCTCAATATAATAATGAGGAGTTATTAGACAAACACAAAATAATGTTCTATTACAAAGGGGGGAGCAGAGGGTATATTCTTCAGAAATGCTGTTGTAAGAAGAAGAAAAAAGGAAGGTTGTGGAAATGTTCTAGATTAAAGGAGGCCAAACAGACATGACAATACAGCTGCAACTCTAGACAGGATACAAAACTAGAGGGAAGGAATACAGTAAAGGACATACCACAGTAACAGACAACACTGGAGCAAAGACAAAAATTGCTGTATCAGTGCAAAGTTACAAAGAGGGTGACCATGCTGTCCGTCAGAGAGGATCACTATTCTCAGAAAATAAGCACTCAAGCATTTAGAGGTAAAGGGCCATGGTGTGTGTGGCCCTTCACCACAAATGGCTCAGAGTAATAGAGAGCACGTATGTGACCAAGCAACAAAGCAGAACAGGTAAAATATTAACATTAAGCACACTATTTTTGTTTTTGCCACTTTTTGGAACCTTGAAACTACTTCTAAATACAAGGTTTTTATAGCAGGGGAGGCTAACAGCTTAAGACATAATTAGCATTCTCATATAGAAGGAAATGCCCTTCTGTACACTGCACCCCACCCCACTCCTCAATCTCTAGCTAAACACCCTTTATTTTCTCCATGGCATTCAAGCAGATAAGCAATATCACAAGATATTCTCTATCTCCTAAGTGCTTTAAAAAAAAAAAAAAGTTTTAACTCTTACAAGTGCTTACTGGGCTTTCCAGGTGGTGCTAGTGGTAAAGAACCAGCCTGCCAATGCAGGAGACATAAAAGATCTGGGTCAAAAAGATCCCCTGATGGAGGAAGTGCTCCAGTATCCTTGCCTGGAGAATCCCATTGACAGAACAGCATGACCTGCTACAGTCCACAGGGTCACAAAAGAGTCAGACACAACTGAAGCAACTTAGCATTCACGCAATCAACGTAACCCTGAAATAGATTTTATCAACCTCATTTTACAGATTAAGGCACAAAAAAGTAAAACAACTTGTCCAAGGCCACACAACTGGTTCAGAATTCAAACACAGGCAAAAGGCTCTTACATACTACACCATGCTCTCTATGTAAGCCCCTTTAGAGCAAGAATTGTCTGTCCTGTTCACCTTTATATCCCCAGCACACAGTTATTTATGCCTGCCCATAGTAGGGCTCAGTAAATATTTGCTGAATGAACCAATGAATATGTAGGTGATACTGTACCTTATAAATAGGGTATGGAGAATCTTATAAAAATCTTTCCTATAATTTTCCATAGTCAATTTACTGAGCACCTATCACAGTCTACCCAGTAGCTACAATAATTCTCTTCATTATAAACATGAAATTTACATTCCAGTGCTCAGGAGAAGATTAACAATTATATCCTCATGTGCATCTGATAATCATTCTGACACTCGCCTCACCAGATTCTTCCAACTTTCCTACATTTTTCAACCCTGTGCTTAAGACTACCCTTTCAACTTCCTCTAAATTTTCCACATTGTAGTTCAATTCTGACATTAAAAAAATCCTAATAAAGGAACCAATTTGCCTTCTAGGAGAGCACTAGGATTGTAAACAAATCCAGAACTACTATACCAAACATATTTCACCAAATCTGCAAATCATCCTACACTCAATGGTAGAAGTATGAGTTAAAAGCAGTGACTGCAGAAACAATAATCAGCCTTTTTCAAATTATACACACTCCCAAAAGGCTGATGTCACTGTTACTGAAGCAATGTCTTAACCTTTGGGACAGGAAAAATCTTCACCAAGGAAAGATATTCCATTTCAGCCTTCAGCTACACATTATTTCTTTCTTTTGAATTTCACACTTTCTAGCTACCACTGGAAGTTAAGTATTTTAGGCTCTAAAACCATGGACAGGGCTCTGCCTTCTGTTTCAGGCTTCTCACATATTTTCCGAGTCTGAACATACTCAGATGTAAGTGAGGGGCAGTGGGGACAGAAATGAAACCTCTCTTTCTCTCTGTTCAATAAAATAATCCCCGTGAAACATTTAGGATGGTACCTGGAACACAGTGAACTATTTTAACCATCATTACTTTCATTCTCCCACAAAACCTAGCATAGTGCTCTACCTGAAAAGCTAGATGCTTTCAAATGCCTGCAGTGAAAATGGTAGCAAAATTCACATAATTTCCTCTATCGACAGCCTCAAGTCACCATTTTCTTATGTCAGATACGTACAGTACATGTGCTGAGCTCTATATGCACTTTATCACAACAACCTTACCTGCAGTGAGGGTTAAAGAAGCTAATGAAGTACTTGGAACAGTGCTCAGCATGTAAATATTAGTTATTGTTGCTGCTACTACAACATCAGTATAGTAACAGTAGTAATCAAAACCATAATCTAGTGACTACTAAAATTACCTTGTTAAACGGCATTAATATTAGTAGCAGTGTTAATATTATTATAATCATTATTAGCAGGCTCTATATAACCTGGCCCTTGCTGATCTCTCTACAGACGCTAGTCCTCTGACCAACTACTTCGTTCCCCTGAAGCCTCTGCACTTGCCCCCTCTGCCTGGCGTGCTTTCCCCGGAGCGTCATGTAACAGACTCTCCCATTCTTCAGTTTAAGTGCCAAGTTCTTTCCCACCTTAGTCTCTCCCACCTCCTTTCTATCTCACTACCCAATCTGAGTTTACAACTATAAGGTAAATGCCATGAAAAAAATCTCACTTATTTAGCCTTGTATTACCTATACTCACTAGTATTTTCTCTTTAGTATAGTGATGCCTCCCAGAGCCCAGAAGGCAGGTGTTCAATTACTGTTTTAATGAGAGTGAACCCCAGGTATTTCTTCTATACCAGGCACAGTTACAGGGACATTGTCTGTATTAAATCTTTCAATCATCACAAAAACTCAATGAGATAAGTTCAGCACCGTTTTTACAGAGGAAACCATAGCACAGAAATAGAACTTGTTTCATGTTAGTCAGTGGTAACACCAGAGTATTCTTATTCCCAGTGTACAGTTGAGGAAATTCAGACAAGTACCTTGTCATAAGTCATAAAGCATTAATAAGTAAATAAAGGCCCTGGGTAAAGTATCTTTACCAACATGACTCTAAAAGTTATCTTAATGATCCTTAATCATAAAGATATAGAAAGGTATTTGGATCTCCAAATAAATCCTATTGTAGATTATTTGCATTCCTACCACTTTGGATCTTTATGAAAATAGAAGTGTACAAGCATGAACGGAAATGAAGAAATTTTTTTTTACAAGAACAAATGTATTTCCCTAGAAGTACAATATCTAGATATGCAATCTTCCCAATGGTGAGGACTGCAAATACTTTAGCACAACAGAGCAAAAATTTTTAAATACTGATATATGGGAGGCAAATTATAAAGTAGACTAAATGAAGAGACATAGGTTTTAATCCAGACCCTGCCAATAACTCAGTGACCTTGTGTAAGTCTCTTCACACTTGTAGGCTGATTTCCTCATCTGAAGTCCTTTTTGAAATTTAGATCAATCTTAATTAGCATGGAACCTCCTGGAGGACAAAGGATTTTGGTCCGGTTCAAGACTACTGCCAGTACCTAGATCAGTGACTCTCAAATAGCACACAATAAAAGTGAATACAATAAACGGACAATCTCTAAAATCTCCTATAACAATTTATTTACAATATACATACCTGAAAACCTTATTCATGAGGCACTATGACGGTGACACACCATGATGTATATTCAGAATACAAATACAAAAAATTAAGCCCCAATTTCTGTAATCAGAGGACACAAAAAACTAATTCCTCTTAAACCATGAGAAATGCTAAAATAAAAGTCTGTACCACATGCTGTGGAAGGAATTTCCAACCCCAGACGTTAAGGTATGAAACATTTGCAACAGAACACCTAATTTAAAGCACTATTCAAATCAGTTTTGCAGCAGTGTCTTCACTTACTATTAATAAAATCTAAAAGGCTACTCACTGTAAAACTGAAGAAAGATACTCTCTTAAATGCAAAGTAATGTTTCCAAATCAATCCATAAGACTAGCTTAAGTACCTCTTGAGATCAGAATCAGGAATAACCCTTTCATCACTAATACTAAACGACCCTGGCAATGGACTCTGATCACTTATTATTGAAGTATATACATGGAGTTTAAAAGACTTAAGATCCATCCCTGAAATAAGACTTTATTTCTGCCAAACTAAAAATTTTTGTGACAACTCATCATCTCAAAGACTTGGTTCTCCCCCTCCCCGCCCCGAAAACTTTAGTAACAATATCCAGTTTCCTTATACAATTTTATCTGGAGCTCTACAGACAATGCTAGAATCCTCATAACTTATTCTACTCTTCCTCATTCTCAAAGGATGACAATGGTACAATTCAGAATGGGGGCTAAACATCTGAAATGCCATTTTTTTTTCCATCCAAGCAGACGTAAAGCTCAGTACCTCGTTTTCCTTAAAAATCACTAAGGATTTTTCTCTCCAAGACAATTAAAAATTCCAGAGGCTGCCCAAAAACCAGGGCGAGAAAGGTCACTGCTGCCGTCCTTAGGGAGACGGCGTGGGCAGACGACTAGAAGGGAGAAGGATAGAAAAGTGCAGGCTCCCAAGCCTGGCTGCCTGCGTTCAAGCCACTTCCTGAAGCCAAGATTCTACCAAAGACACCTGGCTCTACGTCAGTTTCCTCACCTGAAGGATGGGCAAGTCACTTAACCGAAGGTGGCTGTTGCTCCCGGGGCCTGCAAAACGAGAAGAGCAACTACTCCAAAAGGTGGGTATGAGGATCAAAAGAGGAAACACTAAGGAAAGGGCTCTCTGGCTCTCGGAAGCACGAAACAAATGACTGCCGCTATTGTTACTACTCATAAACTCGGGATAAGGGATCAAACGATGAGAAAGGGAGGCCGCGTGAAGTTAAAGGAAAGCAAGCGACGTGGGCAAAAAGGAACCAGGCGGACGCAAGGACACCAAAAGGCGGCGGAGGGCGTGAAGAAGGCCGAGCCAGGGCGCCGAGGAGTTGCCCGCGGCATGGAGGGCTTCAGGGAGGAAAACTGGGCCCGCGGCGGCGCCGAGCCGGGAGTCAGGCTGAGGGCCGCCCAAGCGGAGGCGGACTGCGTCTGAGGCGGGGCCCCAAAGCGGGAACCCCTGGCCCAGCCTGTGAGCCGCAAGCTGCGAAGGGCGCCGGGGCCCCACAAAAACGGAAATGAGGGCCCCGAGAACCCACAGGAGGCCGCGGCCGAGACCCGGCCCGGCTCCCTCATTCAAGCCGCCTTCCCTTCCCCCTTCTCTAACCCCATGCGGTCCCAGCTCTTAGCCGCCGCGCCTCCTCAGCCCACCCTCCACCTCGGCTCTCCGCGCAACAGGCTTAGCCCCTGGGACGCCGGAGTGCCGAGATGTAAGGCGGAGCAGCGCCCTTACCTGAGCTCCCCGGGGTTGAATCGCTCACCGTCTCCCCCGTCCCCGCCACGCTCCGCCATTACAGAAGGCCGCTTTCAGCCACCCGCCGACTGGGCGTCCCCAATTGGCCGGGTGGATCGTCAATCCCGTGAGAGAGAGGCGTTGATAGCGGAGATCTGTGAGGTGATTGGTGAAACTCTCCATCAATCCCCGACCTGAGGGTGGTGTCTGCCTTATTATTGGTGAAAGGGCCCGCCGACTTTAAAAGCGGTATGGAGACAGTCAGTTTATTGGTCGCTCAGAGGCTTTATGGGAAAACGAGACTTTAGCAACGAGGAGCCGCCGGCGCCCTCTCGAGGTAAGCGAAACTAGGTCCTCCCACGTACGGCTAGGCCTGCGGTAGCCACGTGTCTGTCGGCTTCCAGCAAAGCCAATTGTGGGGCCATATTGTCCCAGTACCGGTCATATTGGCTGAGGCCTTGACCAGGTCTATTGAGTGAGCCAATCAAAAATCGACCTGGGTCGCCGGTAAACCAATCACAGAGTTGTAGAAAAGAGCTATTTCCCAGATTTTTAGTATCTAGGGGCCACCAGTTTATACCCGTGTTATTAAATGATACATTACTAACCACAAGAATACCTGTTAAATTGTATCCAATAACTAGTTGCAGGCTGATGAGCGTTACAAATTGCTCTATTAAGTTGGGGGAAGGAAATGTCTTGGCAATTTATAATTTAAACCATACGTCCTTCAATTTTAAAGTATACTTGTGTAAAATTAGCATACCCTAATACCTAGGAGGAATTCTGAACATTTATTAAACTTTTTATTAAAAACAAAAACCTTCAAATACTGGGGTTTCAAAGGCACGATACAGAGGAATTCCACCATTAAGGAACTCAAAATATTAAGCTAATGATAGAGATTTTTTTTACTCAGACCTAGGGACTTTCCAGGTGGCACAGTGGTAAAGAATCTGCCTGGCAGTGCAGAAAATCAAGAGACACGGGTTCAATCCCTGAGTCAGGAAGATACTCTGAGGCAGGAAATAGATCCCACTCCAGTATTCTTGCCTGGAAAATTCCATGGACAGAGGAGCCTGGAGGGCTACAGTCCTTGGGGTTGCGAAAGAGTGAGACAGGACTTAAAGAGTAAACAACAACAAACCGGCTACACCAATCACTGTCCTAATTACTTTCCATATATTATCTGTTTTAGGCCTCCTTTTAAAAAGGCCTTTTAGGATTTGAGTACTATGACCAGCCACAGTTTATAGATGAAACTGAGACACAGAGAAGTAACTTGTCCAAGTTTACATAGCTAATAAATGGCAGAACTGGGACTTAAACCTGAGATAGTATGGCAGCAAAGCCTCACTGCTAAACACTGTCATCTGAGAAAAACTGAAAACATATATGTACACAAAAACTTGTACACCAATATTCATAGCATAATTCATAATAGCCAATATGTCTGAACAACTGATGAATTGATTTAAAGACGTGGTATATCTATACTTGGAGAAGGAAATGGCAACCCACTCCAGTACTCTTGCCTGGAAAATTTCATGGACTGAGGAGCCTGGTAGGCTACAGTCCATGGGGATGCAAAGATAATTGGACACGACTGAGCAACTTCACCTTCCTTCATGTCTATACAAAGGAACATTATTAAGTCATGAAGAGAATTAAGTACCAATACATGCTACAACACGGATGAACCCTGAAAACATTATGCTAGGTGAAAGAAGCCAGACACCAAAGGCTACATAGTATATGATTCCATTTAATGAAATATCCAGAAATATCCATAGAGACAGAAAGTAGATTTTCAGGAGGCAGGAGTGACTGCTAATTGATACAGGATTTCCTTTTGGATGATGAAAATGTTCTGAAATTACACAGTGGTGATGATTGTACAATTTGGTGAACATACTAAAACCTATTGAATTTTGTACTTTAAAGGATGGATTTTATTGTGTGTGAATTACAGTATTTCAATAAATACCATGCTATACTGAATCCTAGTTAAATACTCAAAATTAATGAAGTATGATAAAATGTGATGACCCAAACACAATTCTGATCATAAAATTTGGAGAATGGAAGTATGGTTAAAGTTTCACTAAATACGTAACATTTAAACAAAATGGAGCTTGAATGAGAATGAATGGTTAGATCCCCATTTTCAACATCAGCAAACTCCAAATCCTGGCAAACTATTCTGAAAATAATACTTGTACGGATGACCCATGACAGACTAATCCCCACTGCTGGGGGGCAGGGGCAAGGGGACAATCCTCAAAATAGATACCTCATAGAGAGACAGTCACTGGCATTAATAAAAGATGAAAACAAACTGTCAATTTGAATGAATGGAAGAAACTCCTTGGGGAGGAGGCAGATTGACAGCAACTGAATTACAGATCCTAAAACTTAGTATATCAAAGTGAAGTAAGAGACAGTGTTGGCTTAAGACTAATTAATATCATCAGGGCTCTAAGTCCTGGCTATGAAGTCTGATTTTGAATTCAGAAGATAATTCATTTGTCCATTTGGCAAACCCATTCATTTGCCCATCTGACAAACATTTCATGAACACCTATTGTGTGCCAGGGATTATCATGGTTGCTAAAGACACTGTCCATGGAGTACATAGTCTAGAAGGGAAAGCAGATAAGCCAAATATAAGACAGTAAAAATTGCTGTGACTGACCATGATGAGACTTTTAGCTGAGACAATGACAGCAAGACTGGAGAAGAGGGGACAGGTTCAGGAGCCATTTTTTTTCCAATTAGAAGTTCATTTAATTAAAGTTGGTCAAAGATCAGAGAGATGAAATGTTGCAAATATATCAAAGATAAGCTCTAAACAAATGGTCAAGTATAATTGTGAATTTGTAATCTTTTGTAGATTCATCCTTATTACATGTAAGTCTAAAAATAGAACTTTTCAGAAAAATATTTTTTAAACAGAACGGAATCACCACAAGGAGGTCACAGATATGATAGCAAAAAAAAAAGACTTTAGAAACTTTTAATTATTTGTTCACTTTTCTGCAAACATTTTTGTGGGTAACCCTTGCTTGAAATCCACTGTCCCTGGTGGCTCAGATGGTAAAAAAAAAAAAAAAAAAATACCTGCAGTGCAGGAGATTCAAGTTCAACCCCTGGGTTGGCAAGATCCCCTGGAGGAGGAAATGGCAACCCACTCCAGTATTCTTGCCTGCAGAATTCCATGGACAAGGATCACTGCAACTTCTCTGTCCTAACCTGTCTAGGTTTGAATCCTGGATCCACCTTTTACCAGCTGTGTAATTTGGGACATTTATTTCCAGTCTTTGTGCCTAAGTTTCCTCTTTCTTGAAATGGAAATAATAAGTACATCTCCACAAAGAGTTTATGTGAGGGTTAGATGAATGTAAGCCCATTTAAAATGTTTAGAACAGGGCTTAGAGTAAGTGCTCAATAAACATTAGCCATTACCATTTTTATAAATATACTTTTTATTCTTATTATTTGATCTCTTCTTACTGTCTTTCTTAGGTGTCCATGTCTGAATCTTTGTCTCTGTTTTACCTGGTTCTCTCTGTTGCTTAAACTGCTCCAATTTTCTCCTTGGTTATCTAAATTCACTTAGCTAAGTAATAAACAGGGCCTTCCCAGGTGACTCAGCGGTAAAGAATCCACCTGGGTCAGGAAGATCCCCTGGAGAAGGAAATGGCAAACCACACCAGTCCTCTTGCATGGGAAATCCCTGGACAGAGGAGCCTGGTGGGCTATAAGCCATAGAGTCACAAAGACTAAGCGACTAAAGAACAACAACAAAGTAATAAATACAAACTATTAGTCTGATGTCCAATTCATAATGCATATGTCTGGTAAAAATAACCAATATAAATTGAAACTGAAAATCCCTGCCATTGCATGTGGTTAAAGGTCGTTTTGACCAAAACTTTACTGAAGATCAAATCTTAAAGTGCAAATCTGTAAAATTTGACCAAGGAATCTTAGACCTGGTAGAAATAATAGTCATTGAAGAAACCTCACACAAACAATATAAGTGGTAAAATCTGATGCAGACAGAACTGCTGGATGACTCAATTCTTCACTTTGAAAAATTCTGTAAATTTATTTTTTCATTTCACTTTGGAATTTAAATGGAGAATTAATTCTGTCAAAAAAAAACTCAAGAAAATAAAAAAAAAAACTAATAGTGAAGCAAATGGAAAAATCTTATCTAATATAGAAAACTATTCCAGAAATGTATTGGTGTTTGGGGGTGATTATTTACTGGAGTTTATTATACACTGGATTTTTCTTCCTGAAAATGCTTTCTCGATGAACATATAACAGTGTTGGTATAATTTTGATTCAATGTCAAAATGCCATTAGGAGAACTTCCCTGGTGGCCCATAGCTAAGACTCCATGATCCCAATGCAGGGGGCTTGGGTTGCATCCCTTATCAGAGAACTAGAGCCTGAGTGCTGAAACGAAAAGATCCTGAATGCCCCAACTAAGGATTCCACGTGCCCCAACTAAAGACTGAAGATCCAGCATGCTGCAGCTATGAACAGCACCGCTAAATAAATAAATAAAATGCCATTGGTATCCAAAGAATTAGGGTCAGGATGAGGGTATGGATCAAAGGGCATGTGTGTGCGTATTCAGGTGCACATGTGTGTACAAGAGAGGTTTGGGAAAAGCAAAAGGTAACGTGGTCTCCTAATGAGAACACATGTCGAATATCCCCCCATGCTATGAGTAATCTCCTGTTAACCTAACTGATGGGCCAGAGATACAGTAGTGCACAGGCATCAGGGTCAGGTAGACTTGGGTTGAAAGAGGGTTCCAGCAGTCACAAGCTGTCACCCTGCAAAAGTCACCACCTCCCAAGCTTCAGTGTCCTCCTCTGAAAGAATGAATGTCAACAGTACTAACCTTGTGAGTGTTATCAGGAGGACCCCCTGAGACAATGCCCCTGGCAGGCCCCTGACTCGCAGCCTTGCTCTCAGAATGGATGCTAGCCACCATTATTTGTGAGTCTTCTACTTTTGCTCTTGAAGTTACTCATCCAGCTGGCAGTCAGTGAGATCAGTAACTTCTGAACCGGGACTTTTTCATATCATATTTCTTTACTCCCTGCCACCCCCAGCCCAGTTTCCAGGACCCCAGCATAATGCCATGTTTTATCATATGATCCCAGTGATTTTTAGCTGTATGTTGAGTGCCTATTACAGAAAGAGACACAAAAGGGGAGAAAGAAAGGGGGTTGGGGGTTGGGGCAGAGACATATGGGGTGCA